CACGGTTCCCTCCGTAAATGAATTCCCTTTCATGTGCTTTAAACCGCATGTTAATTGCTTGATTATTAAAAAAGTTATGCCGATTCAAAGTTAGTCCGATCCGCATCAAACGAAGTGTCATAAATTGGCTGTTCTCTCTCGGACCCCTACGTTTCACGCTAAAATAATTACATAATACACAAATATCGCACCAGAGAGGGTCACAAGTTGCGGTAACATACACTAAACAACATTTTATGACCCAGTGACATCTGACCAATTAAAAAAAGTTGCTGATTAATATCAGTTTATAACAGAAATTTCTTCACATCTTAACGTGATTTACCGTTAGTCTGGTATCGGTTGCACATGTCACGTGACTTTCGGTAAAATTTGAGGCACTCGGTGGGGGGAAATGGGACGTATTTGTGCACCGCTAGCGGGGTATTTAATTGTTTCACATTTGAAGTTTATTATTATTATCATCAGCATTATTATTATATTATACCAGTGTCACTCTATCTGTGTACTCGTGTATGAAATTCCGTTAAAATATAAATTAAAATAACAAAAAAACTGAGCTTCTGACAGTATTTTAAAGTCCATGGTAGATGTACAAATAAGAACGGGATTTTATATATTTTTTCCTCCAAATTGATATAAATGCTTCACATATTTTAATAGAAATAAAAGGTATCACTCGATCATTGTGATCTGACCTTCTTGACTATCATGAAAATCATCTATGCACGGCATAGAGATCCAGTTTCTACTGGGATATACAATAAATTCCAAACTTTCTCCCAGGTTTATTAGTACTGTGTTCGATTTACTAGCGAACAATTTATTCAAAGCATTCACTGATAATTTATTTTACTATCTTTTTTTATTGATTCATAGAGAAATAATCATCCTTAGACAACCTAAAATGGTTTAGAAATTTTGTCAGGGAGACCTTACACAAGTCATATAGGCGTTCACATAAAAAATGTTGTCTGTTTTTGTTGTTGTTTTACTTGACATTGTTAGAAAACGAGGTTGAATGTAAAGCAAGCCCTTGAATCCGTACCAAAGTCCATAAACTCAATGTAATATCTATCAGATTAACGGGACAGACAAATTATTTTCACACATTATGGATATTTTAGCAACTATATTTTTAATCAACCCCGTGGTCGTGCGATTTGTCGCTATGCTTAATTATTTATGTTTCATACATTATGTTACGTACATTGGCCGACAATTTCTTATTTTATAAAAAAGGCTAAATAAAAGGTAGACGATATTCATAAAAGATGTACGGTATTTGTACGATACATGAATTACGAGTAGTATGGACCAGTATGGACCGGTAATTCACGCATATATGGAACTACCGATTTCCCTCATTGATGCCTCAACAGGGGGCGGTGCGTTATCGGTAATTGACAGGTTACGCCATAGCAGATAAAAATAGTACAGGTACCGTTTTAAAACGTTTAAAAACACATTTTTTGGACTAACTGCTTCCAAAATTAAAACACGAATGTGTTCAGAAAAGGTTGATAAATATACTAAGCAAAAAATCTCATTTTAGGTATTTTCAGTGATAATTGACTCCGTTGTCACCTTAATTTAATTATTAAAGGAACTACACCGAGGTTTTAAAATCCTTAAAACATAACATTTGAATTTCGTACATACATGTAGACCAGCTAGCACTTAAAACAGAGCGCTTTGCAAAAGATAATTAAGAAATATACTGATAAAAAATTGACAATCGTATTTTTGCAATATTCTTAGCCCTGATATGAGTGAAAAGCATTCCAACGCTTTTCAAATTTTGTTCATTTTTCACAATATGAATAATTATTTTGGCAAAATGGATGGCCAAATGATCTGGAACTTTGCTCACAAGTTATTTACTAGATATTTATCAAATGGAACAGAAATCTTGTTCAGGTATCTTTATCAATGTATTTTCCTTCAAGTTTAGTACTGTGATGCCAAATAAAACCTCAGTGGACTCCCTTTAAGCAAATGGGGGTTAATTTAAACTTTGGACCAGAAGAAGCAGACAAATTTAATTCAATTATAAAGCTAAGGGGAGTAATTTAAACTTAGAAGCAGAAGATGCAGACAAACTAATTCAATTATTAAGCAAATGGAGTAATATAAACTTTGGACCAGAAAATGCAGAATTGCAAAGCTAAGGGGAGTAATTTCGATCTTTAAAGAAGAAAATGCAGATAAATTTAATTCAATTATTAAGCAAATGTAAAAATATAAACTTTGGACCAGAAAATGCAGACAGATTTAATTCAATTACAAAGCTAAGGGGAGTAATTTCGATCTTTAAAGAAGAAAATGCAGATAAATTTAATTCAATTATTAAGCAAATGTAAAAATATAAACTTTGGACCAGAAAATGCAGACAGATTTAATTCAATTATTTAGCAAATCAGAGTAATTTATTCATTAAAATAAATGCATGTACAATATATTTTCAGATAGATTTCTTTTAAAATAAAAAATGGTGTTTCAATATCTATTTAACAGTTTCTTCTCTTATTTTAAGTATTTTTTACTTGAAAAATAAAAACAATTATCTCATTTTTTGGTATATATTGGAAACAATTATCTTACATTAAAATCTAATTTTTGTATGACCTGTAGAAAAATTACAACACTTCCTGATCAATGCTAACTTTTACTCCGCATAATAAGTGTAATGCAATCCTAATATGAATTCTGACATGTTGATTTAAGCACTTTCAATATCAAAATTATATTAATCAAATTTTTACTGATAGCTTCAATGAACTAGCCAGCTTCAATGAACTAGCCAGGTACTAAAATGGTGGCACTCAAAAAACATTTTTTACTTTTTTGTAATACAACAAATCAAAGATTAACACCTTGTCAGCAACCAAATATATGCCCATGCATCAGTGCAAACCAAGATCAGCTGGCACATCCCCACAGCCTGATCAAGGTCTATCTGCACTGCCCACTACTCAGTATACCATTTATTATCTTCCATTAAGTAATAAATGGTTTTATCCAGATTTAAAAAAATGGACAAGTCCATTTAAGATATTTAGTGTGGAAAGTTTAATGTTTTTTGTTGTTTTTTTGTTGTTTTATTTTGAACAAAGTACAATATGAAATACATAACAACTATCCTCATAATCATGAAAGCTTCAATAAATTTTTTTACTATATTTTTGGCACGTGGCACATCAAATCTTTTCTTAAAATCTCCTTTATGTATTCAATACAAAGTTTTCCTACTGTGTCTATAAGCTTATAGTTCCCTGCTCAATCAAAATAAAATAAATTCTGTATAATCCAATGTTTTCCATATACATAATTAAGTATAACAATATAAAATTCAATTCAACGCAAATGCCTGAAAAAAAAAAGAAAGAGAAGAATATACAAATAAAATATCACTTACTAAATACAGTGTTCTTGATCTTGTCCGTGAATTTCAGCCACACAATAATTGCACAATTTCGTTAGCACAATATGATATAATGACAAAATCAGAAAAATATCTTTATTTATAGAGAAAATTTTAAAACACCACCCACATCTTACGGGCTTTGCAAGTTTGCATTTTTATCACTTTCAACCAATCAGCATTGGATTCTGATAATATGCAAATTACAAAGGGGCCAATATGCAAATTAGGTAAGGGCTACCTAAGAACTTTTATGGCACTTCGTGTATTCCACTGATATGTCAGAAATAAACACCTTCAAACAAGGGATTAAAACCTTCAAACAAAATGAAAATTATGATCACCACAGGGGGTTGTCTTTAATTAGGATGCCTAATGGAAATATTACATCATCAAAGAAATTCCATAATTTGCATAATCTTACACATTCTCAATCTTTTGTTTTTAATTGTAAAATATTAAATAAATTTTTTTTTTTACAAATTTCAACAAATAATTTCACTTAATTATGAAAAAATAAACTTTCAACACTTCTTTTTTACATATTTATCAAAAAGTTACAAAATTCAAGTAGAAACTTTTCTTTAAAATAATTTTGGCATTATAATTAAATTTAAAGATAATTTCTTTACTATCGATGGATTTTTTTTTTTTTTTTAGAAAATATTTATTGTCTTTTTGCTTTATCAAGCAGCCAGTGTCTCTTTTTTAATTATCAGCAACTTGAATGATAAGACATTGATAAAGATACCTGGTCAATCAATATATTTAGAACCGAATTAAGGTAAATTCGGATGAACATGTGCAAAATTAATTTAGACAGGTGTTATAATTATATACCTAGGTGTGAAATGATGACACTGTGCAAAATGTCAGAGAAAATAACACAAGTAGAAGATAGACACACAGTGACATCTTTAACTTCTTATTTGTGTTATATTTTCTTTCTATCATGATAAATTAGGTTTTTTTTATTTGTTTGTTTTTCCCCTTGGTAACCTGTTATGAATAACAAAATATATGTTTGGGAACAGATCCACACAGCCTCCCACCATTTTTTCTTTTTTCAGAAAAAAAAATCTGGTAAATTTTTGGTCCAGATATACTTGCCTCTAAATTTTGATTTTTTTATGTAGTATATTTTATTGGAAATAAAATCCTTTTAACATAAAAGAGAATGATGTGTCAAGAAAAACATAAGTTTTAAAATTACCATAATGTAACAATTAAATCTAAGTGTGATTTCAAAAATAACCAAAATTGGGTTTCCTTTACATTTTTTAAGATATGTTATGCATCACATTAAAATATATTAAACATGTTCTATTTTTTAAATACATGACACACTTCATATTCTCCACCACAAAGGTGCATTTATGGTCAGTGAAATCTTCCTTGCGGGACTGTTGATTATATTAGTTTTTTTTAACCGTTTTATTCACATCAGGAAATTCTTATCAAAGGGGAACTTTTGTACGCCATTTCTCATTTCAGAGAATTGGTATACCAGTAAACTGGAAATTTTAAATCTGGAAAGAAAATCAAATATTAGTATTTAAATGTTCCCTATATTTACCTGAATTCTGCTACAGGTGTGAACATGAGTAAAATGAGCGCTGGAAGACCAGGTATGGATGGCATAATTGTTGAATCTCGTGCCACCACCGAGGAACCATTTGGGTTCAAGCCCACAAATCCGGCTACCATCATTCTCTGGTGCGGATCGTGTGGCTCATCATCTATGCTGATAGAATTTACACTGTCTTGCTCTATCTTTGTTGCCCTATGTGAAGATTAAAATATTATTTCAACACTCTAACCTTTAACCTGTTGAATAACTGTAATTCAACTAATATCCCTCACAGGACAAAAACTTACAAAATGGTAACAGCAATTGATTTGATTGATTCCTTAAATTTCTTTTGAAAAATATACAAGGTGATTATCTTTATGACTTAAACTGAAACATGTTGTTTTTCTCCCCAAAAAATATTGAATATATGTATTAATAGGTATCCAGACTTCTAAGTTATTGAATATTTTGAAGGATATTGCAAGGTTTACCTGAGACGTCCAACATTTGTCATGTTGAAGAAACTCATCTCATATGGATTTGTTGGCCCATTTAAATGCACCTGCAAATTTAGATAATATTATTATACAATATTTAAAGTATTCTGTATATGCTATAACAAGCTAGAACAACCCCCATCATACAGCAAATCCCCACCCAATACCTCCGTCCGCTTCATCAGTAGGGCTTTACTTTGTTGTGCTAGGGGAGGGGGTATAATATGAAAAGTAATATATAAAATGCAATAAATAAGAAGCTAAGATTCAAGTACTAATTTTCATTTCAAATTGAACATTGTTATACTTAAAAATGAGCAAATGTTTGTTTTGCTTTGTTGTTGGTTGTTAGATCATTCTCTAGGCTAAAGTATTCAAATAAGAACAAATCATTTCACATCTGGTGCCAAAGACTTTTATAAGGGAGACTTTGACAATTTCTTTCCTATTCTTTAACTATTTAGCATTGAATACCCCAATATTGAGATTTGCCACGTGTTATCTATCTCAAACAGCTGAATTATACTAGAATTTACTAATGGTCCATCACCAGACACTGGAACAAAACAACAAAAAAACATCTGATCACATGTTGATAATCAACTTTTAATTCCTACCCTATTTCCTTTCTGTCTTGCACCAAGATCACAACCAGTCGCGCCCAATGATGCCACATTTAACCAGTCTGCTTTCGGTTCCCCTAACAGCGTCCCTTTCTGTGTCGCCCGCCCGAACAGGTTCCTGGCCTTCATATACTCTTCTACTCTCTGCTCATAGCTTTGCTAAATTAATTATAATAAAGAATTCTTTATTTCAGTTCTTTTTAACTTTTGTTTATTTTTCTCAGGGCTTGAGCTAGGGTTAACAAACCAACCCATCATAGTATGCTCCAACATTGCAAGTTAGAGACATAAATAACGCTTGGTAAAAATTAATTTATTTTTTTCAGCAACATCAACCTAGACCAAATCAACCTGAAATTCTAGTTATATAGATTCATAGAAGAAATGAATGCTCCAAATTTCTATAATTTCACATCTGACAAAATGTGTTCATACATGTGAACTCTCCCACTTTAAGCGGGAGACTCCCACTTTTTGCAGCCATATTTTCAAAGATTTTTCTTAAAATAAGGGGTATTTTCACAAATTAAAGAAATCTCCCTATTTTTGATGTCAGAACTTCCTTCTTTGTTTATTGCAAATTCTAAAATCTCCCTCTTTTTGAAGAAAAATCTCCCACTTGATCATCCAAAAAAGTTCACATGTATGTGTGTTGGTTTTTTTGTTTTTTTTTGAATTTATCATAAAATTTCATCAAAATATGAGGATGCTATGAGAAACATTATGGGAAAAAAACTATTCAAAATATAACTTTTAGAAGTCTCTATAAAAATGTAACAATAGGCATACTTTTGAGAGAGAACTTTCCTCAGCTTCATCAGCAAATCCCATCTCTACAAGCCTTGGACGGACATAGAACTGACCATGCTGCTGTGTGATGTGGATTAAATCAACTCGCAGAACTCCATGTACAACAGAAAATGGCTGAAAAAATAAAGTTTAGTTTTGAAAATCTTTTAATGAATTCTGTTAGTTACGCCCATTAGTGCTTGCTGTGCTGAATATATGTATGTAGCATGTAAATATGTTAAAAATTCATTTTGATAATAAAAATAAATATATACAAGTTATTTAGGAAAATAATTATTGTTTTAAGTACAAAACAAAATGCCCTGCCAAATGTGTTTGCTCATTTGAAGAATGTATATGAAGTAGAGCAGAATAATTCAATTTCAAGGGGTCTTTTGGTAATGAAAACTGATGGCTGAAGTGATTACAAATTTGAAACCTATGTGAATACTGATGGCTGAAAATAACAAAAGGCAAAAACTGAAAAATAATGCAGGGTAGGTTATCATTCTTGTGTGCTGCACTCCTCCTCAATGAGATCTATCCACCTATGAAGTTTTAAGTTGATACCTCTAACACTTTTTGAGATAAGCTCTGGGACAAAAAGTATGAACAAGAGGGCCATGATGGCCCTGAGTCGCTCACCAGAAACAACTGCTTCCCAGTGTTGGAATGTCAATATATTCTAACATTAAATTTGAGCATAGAATGCATGTTTAAACAATAATTTGAAGAAATGCCATGACCTGGGGTATTTAAGCTTTAGCTTAAACAGGGCTAATCAAATTAATATGAGCAAACTTGATAAAAGACTACTTAAGAATGCTACAAAGTTTGGTGATCATCTATCAATTATTTCAGGAGGAAATGATGTTCAAAAGTTTTTTCTATTTTTCTATTTTTAGCTTTAGTCGCCCCTAAATGGGGCTAATCAAATTAATATGAGCAAACTTGATAAAATGGGGCTAATCAAATTAATATGAGCAAACTTGATAAAAGACTACCCAAGAATGCTACAGACAAAGTTTGGTGATCATCCATCAATTAGTTCTGTAGCTATAGCATTTAAATGAATATCAATTTTTAATTTTAGCGGCCCCTAAAAGGGGCCAATCAAAATAATATAAGCAAACTTGATAAAAGACTACCCAAGAATGCTTCAGACAAAGTTTGGTGATCATCCATCAATTAGTTCTGTAGAAATAGACATTTAAAGGTATTTCTATTTTTAGCTTTACCGGCCCCTAAAAGGGGCTAATCAAATGAATGTGAGCAAATTTGATAAAAGACTATCCAAGAATGCTACAGACAAAGTTTGGTGATCTTCCATCAATTAGTTCTGTAGGAATAGACATTTAAAGGTATTTCTATTTTTAGCTTTTGCGGCCCCTAAAAGGGGCCAATCAAATTAATATGAGCAAACTTGATAAAACACTACCCGAGAATGCTACTGACAAAGTTTGGAGATCATCTCACAATTAGTTCTGTAAGAGAACATGTTTAAAGGTTTTTTTATTTTTAGCCCTAGAGACCCCTAAAAGGGGCCAATCAAAATAATATTAGCAAACTTGATAAAAGACTACCCAAGAATGCTACAGACAAAGTTTGGTGATCATCCATCCATTAGTTCTCTAGAAATAGACATTTAACAGTATTTCTATTTTTAGCTTTAGCGGCCCCTAAAAGGGGCCAATCAAATTATTATGAGCAAACTTGATAAAAGACTACCCAAGAATGCTACAGACAAAGTTTGGTGATCATCCATCAATTAGTTCTCTAGAAATAGACATTTAACAGTTTTTCTATTTTTAGATTTAGCGGCCCCTAAAAGGGGCCAATCAAATTAATATAAGCAAACTTGATAAAACACTACCCAAGAATGCTACAGACAAAGTTTGGTGATCATCCATCAATTAGTTCTGTAGGAGAAGATGTTTAAAGGTTTTTCTATTTTTAGCCCTAGAGACCCCTAAAAGGGGCCAATCAAAATAATATTAACAAACTTGATAAAAGACTACCTAAGAATGCTACAGACAAAGTTTGGTGATCATCCATCTATTAGTTCTGTAGAAATAGACGTTTAAAGGTTTTTCTATTTTTAGCTTTTGCGGCCCCTAAAAGGGGCCAATCAAATTTATATGAGCAAACTTGATAAAAGACTACCCAAGAATGCTACAGACAAAGTTTGGTGATCATCCATCCATTAGTTCTGTAGAAGAAGATGTTTAAAGGTTTTTCTATTTTTAGCCCTAGAGACCCCTAAAAGGGGCCAATCAAATTAATATGAGCAAACTTGATAAAAGACTACCAAAGAATGCTACAGACAAAGTTTGGTGATCATCCAATCATTAGTTCTGTAGAAGATGTTTAAAGGTTTTTCTATTTTTAGCTCTGCTGACCCCTAAAAGGGGCCAATCAAATTAATATGAGCAAACTTGATAAAAGACTACCCAAGAATGCTACAGACAAAGTTTGGTGATCATCCAATCATTAGTTCTGTAGAAGAAGATGTTTAAAGGTTTTTCTATTTTTAGCTCTGCTGACCCCTAAAAGGGGCCAATTGGAATGACATGAGCAAATTCAAGTGTGACTGTCACAAGGATGCTACAGACCAAATTTGAAGTAAATCTGTCCAGTAGTTTCAGAGAAGAAGACCATTGTTGACGCATGACGACGGATGCCGGAGCATCCCCCTTTGATACTAATAGCTCACCCTGAGCCTTCGGCTCTGGTGAGCTAAAAATAACAAAGGGCAATAACTCAAAAATTATAAAGGGAAGAGTTATTATTCTTGCAAAGAGCAATCCTACACCATAAGATCTATCTTTCATGTTGACATCTCAAAGACCTTTTGGGTTATACTCCACTCGGGTGAAAAATTAAGTATGAAAACTAATAAAGGGCAATAACTCAAAAATTATGAAAGGTAGAGTAATCATTCTTGTGCACTGCACACCTCCTGAGTGAGATCCATCCACCTATGAAGTTTCATGTTGATATCTCAAAGGCTTTTTGAGATATGCTGCAGACAAAAATGTCGGACGAAGGACGGAGACATATTTTGAAAGGCGGCGGGGGATATTAAAGATCATATGGCACCTTTTACCATAAGTAATGCTGGTCTTCTGTGCATTCTTCCAAAAGCACTATTAATAAAGCAGGTAGAAGAATCATCCTTCTGTAAGCTAGCTAAATGGATTTCAAAACTTAACAGAAAAAGTCCTATGCTCTCATCAGAACTCAAACACAAAGCATAGGGCTATTATTTTAATGTCAACCATTTAATCATAATCTGCTTGGAAACTATGGCCCACAGTTTATCAAATATAAACTAATTTATAACATACTCTAGCAATAAGTTTGTGATTTAAAACCATTTCCCTGAAGGCTGTTGTTGCTTCCACTGTCCATTTTCCATCTGGACATCTTAAAGGTGAAGGTCGTATTTTGATTTGACGGCACTCAAAAGCCTAAAATAAAACAAAAGCCATCATGGCCATTAGTACAACATGTTAGTTTATACAAGATTGAAATTTTTTTATCAAAGTCTTGGTTCAAACCAAACTTTGTGAATGAAGACCCATTCCTTCATCTATAAATTGTTAAAAAGTTTTACTTTCTTCAGTGATCCCAAGTTAAAAGCTATACATTGACAGTTTAAGGATGCCACTATATAATTTAATGACAGTAAATCTTTATATTATTTTTTTTTCTAAAATTATGTAATTACGTTTAAACTTTTCAAACAAAAAGTACACTTGTAAAACATCAACTGTACAGTGAAATAACACCTGTTTAAAATGGTCATACCTGGAAAGGTGTTTTGAGTAAATGTGTTGGCAGTTCTCTCAGCTGATCCCTACTCACCTCTGCAGTGTTACCATAGTCAACAAAGAATACCTGAAATACACATGTGCTGATAGAAAACTTATGGCAATATGGCAATTATTAACCGCTTCCTCACATGAAAGAATCTAAAGTCCCTGCCAGAATTCGAACATACAGGGGTGAGGGGCAAGTGGTAAGAAGTCAACATAGCATAATAGTTAAATAAAAACTTGGATAATGTACCTTTATTTCTTTGTTTGTACCTTTATTTCTTTGTTCACAAAGATTAATAAATTAAGAAAAAATTTATGCTGGAGTTATCAGTCTATGTCAATGACCTACAATTATGATGCTTGAATGGTAAAAGAGTTTCTGAGCATTTACTTTTTAAAGAATAAGGCAGCATTATCAATAAATCTTTCCAACATAATGCTTTTACCTCCACACATTCTCTCCTAGCCCTAACTCTTTCATCAACCTTGTTCTGTACAGACTGTATCCTTGCTCTGTAGTATTCCAGAGTCTCATCCATGTAGGGGGCGACACAGAACACTCCAACACGTGCCACACCACTCAATGGCTGAAAAACATTCAATAGCTTGTCATTAATATTCAATCTGTACATTACACTGGTCATGCAATATTAAAGAATTTACTATTTTATTACCATATTTCAATATGTTATATAATAAAGATATAAAGAATTCTTTTACAAATCATAAACCCCAAAAATATGCTGTTTTATCACACAGTGTTTCCTGGCATTTTGGTTAAAAAATGTTCGAAAATAGTTTTTTCTCTCAACTTATCTTCTGTTCTGATAACAAATTCCTCATTGAAAGTTAAAAACAAGAGGGCCATAATGGCCCTGAAGTCGCTCACCTGTACATAGGCCCCCGGAGCGGGGCCAGTTTAAAGCCCGGGGCTTTTATTTGAACAAACTTTGTAGACAACCATTAGAAGATGTTTCATACTAAACATCTAAGGTCTAGCTCGTTAAGATTTATAAAAGAAGATTTTTTTAAATTTTTTCTTTACATATATAGTTAAAAACAATGACACACCTGGGGCAGGGCCAGTTTTGACCCCAGGGCTTTTATTTGAACAATCTTTGTAGACACTTACTAGAAAATGTTTCATGCTTAATATCTAAACTCTAGCTATTCGGGTTTTTTCAAAGAAGATTTTTAAGTGTTTGCTATACTCGTAAAAGGAAAATCAATGTCCCCCTCACTAGAAGATGTTTCATGCTTAATATCTAAACTCTAGCTATTTGAGTTTTTTCAAAGAAGATTTTTCAATTTTTGCTATAGTTTTACACATATAGGGAAAATGAATGACCTCCGGGGTGCGGCCAATTCTGACCCCAGGGCTTTTATTTGAACAAACTTTGTAGACAATCAATAGAAGATGTTTCATGCCTATCTAAACTCTAGCTATTTGGTTTTTTCCAAAGAAGATTTTTTAAGTTTTTCCTATACACATATAAGGAAATTTGGAAAATCAATGACCCCCAGGGCCAGGCAAATTTTGACCCAAGGGCTTTTATTTGAACAAACTTGGTAGACACCCATTAGAAGATGTTTCATGCTAAATATCTTATGTCTTGCTCTTTGGGTTCTTTAAAAGAAGATTTTTTAAGTTTTTACTATATGTATATATGGAAAATCAATGACCCCCTGGGGTGGGGCCAACTTTGACCCCAGGGCTTTGATTTGAACAAACTTGGTAGATATCCATTAGAAGATGTTTCATACTAAATATCTTAGCTCTAGCTCTTTTGGTTCTTTAAAAGAAGATTTTTTTAAGTTTTTACTATATGTATATAGGGAAACTCAATGACCCCCTGGAGCGAGGCCAATTTTGACCCCAGGGCTTTTATTTGAACAAACTTGGTAGACATCCATTAGAAGATGTTTCATGCTAAGTATCTTAGCTCTAGCTATTTTGGTTCTGTAAAAGAAGATTTTTTAAGTTTTTACTATATGCATATAGGGAAAATCAATGACCCCCTGGGGTGGGGCCAATTTTGACCCCAGGGCTTTTATTTGAACAAACTTGGTAGACACCCATTAGAAGATGTTTCATGCTAAATATCTTAGCTCTAGCTCTTTTGGTTCTTTAAAAGAAGATTTTTTTAAGTTTTTACTATATGTATATAGGGAAACTCAATGACCCCCTGGAGCGAGGCCAATTTTGACCCCAGGGCTTTTATTTGAACAAACTTGGTAGACATCCATTAGAAAATGTTTCATGCTAAATATCTTAGCTCTAGCTATTTTGGTTCTTTAAAAGAAGATTTTTTAAGTTTTTACTATATGCATATAGGGAAAATCAATGACCCCCTGGGGCGGGGCCAATTATGATCCAAGGGCTTTTATTTGAACAAACTTGGTAGACACCCATTAGAAGATGTTTCATGCTAAATATCTTAGCTCTAGCTCTTTGGGTTTTTTAGAAGAAGATATTTTAAGTTTTTTCTTTTGGTTGCCATGGCAACCAGAGTTCTGCATGGAATTAAATTCTTAGAACAATTTTCAAAGGTGACCACCAAAGGAACATTCCTGTGAAGTTTGGATGAAATTGGCTTAGTGGCTTATGAGGAGATGTCATTTAAAGTAAAAGTTTACAGACGCCGGACGGAAGCCGGACGAAAAGCGATCACAAAAGCTCACCCTGTCACTTTGTGACAGGTGAGCTAAAAATATATCCCTATTGTCAAGAAATTGGTGATCTAATCACTGTTAAAAAATTGATTAATTAAATCATTAAAAAGTAATCCAAATAGAGGATACTGAATGAGTGTAAGTTCAATCCTGAAATTATTGAAGAAGTTGTATAAAGTTATATTATGCGAGCCTGTAGCGAGCATAATATTATTTTATACTACGAGTTCAATAAATTCAGTAATGAACTTACAGGAATATAATATTCTATTTATCACATACCCAAAATAAAGAGTGTTTAAAATGAAAAGAATCATATTCACTGACACACCTATAGTGTAACGCTAACATTTAGCGCGTTTTAAACTATGTTAGTATAACGCAAATGAAGTCACATCAAAATATATGCATGACCATGCAATACTGTTTTTACGACGTTGCAAAATCCACACAGGTATATGATAAATTTAGATATATTATGCAGAATCTGACTCCACTCCCAAATCCAGAAACAAAGACCGTTCCAAAATTCATGAAGAAAAATTAAAAATGTGTCTATAAGACACAGATGACCCAAAGTCCCTACTGACAGACACCTTGACAGCGGGACAGAAAGACAAGGGCAAATCTATATCCCCCTTTAGTGGGGGGCATTTAAACATGACACAACATTGTTCACAGTATACATACTCTCAAACTGTGACCATGATCTTTATTAAGTTCTTCTTGTACTTTGTATAAATCTCTATAATTCTCATCTTCCCCATACTGGGCCCAGAAATGTCCACAATCTATCACCTGTAATCAAATGCAACATAATATTTAAACTTCAGTCCTTATTTGCTAATTCATCATTTAATTTTTAACTCTTTAAATGCTGATGGTTATATTAACTTAATAATGACACAAGTATAATGCCTTACCAGCCAGCACATTCTTGCAGTCTAACCCAACTTTACATTGTCAGCATCTCCATTTTATACTTTTCACATTTTACCCTTTAACCTGCTGAATTTCTCAAATGGACTTGTCCAGCCTCCTTTTTCGGTCCAATATTAATTTATGGGACATCATAATGGAAGTTTCAAGTTAGTCAGCCGACTGTATAGAGCCTGGTGAGACTGTACAGATGTACAGGCTGGCCTGGCTCAACACTGGCAGCAAAGGCTAATCACTTTGGTTCATGAAGGTAATGGTTAAAATCTCTAAAATAGCAATGAAAAGATTCAAAATCAAAGCAGGACATGTCCACATTACAAATATGTGGTAAACTTTCACTGATTATAAGTAATCAACAATTCACAAAACAAACACACAATTCATTTATTGATCAATGCATTCAATCAATTTCATCTCTCAAGAAACTTTCAGTTGGAAAAATTATATGACCATTTGAATGCATTTCTTGGCTAAACAAATCATTTGTAATTAGATCTAACCAAAAGTTTGTACACATAGGTGTGCTTTGAAAGAAAATAAAAAATATCCCTAATATCCCACTAACAACTTGTTTGTTAATTACTTTACCTCTGTAATACAGATACTGATAACGTCCTTGGCTGGGTCAGGTGGACTAACATGTGTGGCGACCCTGTTACTTCCAGATTCCTCGGTAATCTGACCAGTAGCAGTTAATCTGTTAGTACGAAGACTTCCAGACTTGGTCAACTTGTCCTGTGCATCTTGTAATTTACTCAACATTTCCCGAGCCTCCTCTGGAGTATACAAGTTGATGACCATCGGCATTCTCAACTGTCTAAAATAAAAAGAGTCAATTATAACTTATGAGTAATGTCATCTTTAACTACCATCTGGTGCATACATGTTTCACAAAACTATGACTGACGAATGACAACCTCAAAATCAATAGGGATCATCTACTGACCATGGACAATGTTCCTATTAGTTATATACAAACTTAAGAGTTATTTTTCTAAAGTAACTGATCCAATGGATATTACAGTGATTTCACTGTGACCTTGACATAGATATAAATAAGGGTCATCTACTGGTTCTACCAAGTTATATAAACTCATGACAAGGATTCTATAGTTTAACTGTGACCTTGACCTACCTAATGACCTCAAACTCAATAGATGTCCTCTACTGACTATAGACAATGTCACTATTAAACTACATTATCCATGGCTTATTCCTTCTCAGCCAAGTGATCAGCTTGAAAAGAATAAAACCTGTACATGCAGACAGACGTGCTAACCAAAATGGAATGAGGGCCATTTATTTCATTTTCTTTTATTTATAGAGGGCTATAGGCCCCTGAAATGAACTCTACTGCCCTCTTTTGCTCTGATTGCAGTTAGATGGCCCCTTATTTATTTTCAGTAGTGCGACCAGATGGACCACCTCATCGTAGGTAAATGTAATCCAATTGTACTTACTTCATTTTAAGAGCCATGTAAACTCCTTCATGCACCTTTGATCTACTGTTTGCTCTCCTTGGAAATTCCACATAAGCTCTGCAAGATATAGTGTGTTAATAATAAACATGCATGTCCATTAATTTCAAGTGTGTGATTTAAGTTAATATTTAGTGGCCACTGGAAACTCATTAACACCTTTTATTGCTTTGATTATGAAACTGTTTATTAATAATTTCATGATTTATTTAAGGAATATCAGCATTTAAGTACTTATACTTATGTTTAGTTCTTTAAAGCCAATATCAACACATTTTTGGTCATGTCTCTATGGACGTTCAAACTATCGGTGTTCCTTGATAACTAACCAGTAATTGCCAATTTCTAAGCAAGTGACCGACTACTAATTTCACAAGATTTCTGAATCGGTGGTAAGAAACAAATGGGAGTTTTTGACTTGCCGGAGGATCTAACCAGCAACCCTCAGTTGATAAATCTTATGCTCTCTCTATTGAGATAAGCAAGTAAAAAAAACAACTGAGAATCCAGTAGTATCAGAGTTTGTTAAGACTGCACAATGGTACAGACTGGCCTACCACTATACTGATACTAAATAGCACAGACAAGTCACTTTTTATTGCCTAATTGTTTTATGCAACTTTACCTTGTTTCCTCAAAGTAAGCTTTAGGGTTGGCCCCACATTTCCGGAACAAATCTTCCACCACCTGCTTGTACAATGTACCCTGATTGGCTGGTAAACCTTTCACCTGTGCATATATAACAGACATCATGAATGCTTAAATTCCAATAGATCACTTGGCTCATTGGAATGATGAAAACAAATACTTCCAAAAATTTGAAGGTTACACCTTCTATTTGCTTTTTTTTAAATATTCAATTTATGCATGTCTGAACTATTTTCAATCTTAACAATTGTAAAATGTTAAATGCGGTCTCTTAATAAACGTCATATAGCGCTTTGAGAAATAATGATAAACTTGTCTTAGAAAGGTTTTTTAACAAGTTAATGCAGAAACTAACCATCACTGTGTTGAGAGGGTCTCTCCCAGATAATGCCTTCAGAGATTCCATCTCATCTATCTCACCTTTAACAAAGTAGTTTGGGTAGAATGCTCCACACAACACCACCTATAATATACAAGACATGAAATAGTTATAACACAGCCACCCCACCACTGTGGTGTCAATAATCAAAGTCGCTTACTAAAAATCACTTGCCCCTTGTAAAAGACAAAAGATGATACAGTCAGGTTAATATATGACTATAGCAGTGGAAGGTTGGCTAGTAGTTATGTTTTCTGGTTCTCCAACTAGGGATCCTGGGTTTGAGCCCAACTGAGATCATGACCTTTATACAAAATACAATATTAATGCTGGTTGGTCAACGACTCAAATGCTTGATTCACAATAGTGGTTAAAAATACTTATGGTTAAAAAAGACTATATTCAAATTGAGAATATCTCAAAATAGACTAACTTAAATAAATATATTACAATGCAGTGTAAGGTTTACCTTAAGTAGAAGTTTTTCCTGATCTTCCGATAATGTATGGGCATATACAGGAGCATGCTGTGGTCTCATTATGTTAAATTTCATCAATCTCTTCTCTATGTCCTTGATCAGCTCCTGTATCTATAGTAACCAATTACAGCTTTATATATCTTACTTACAACAATTTACATCATCAAAGTTTTGTAATGTTATCTGTCAAACAAATACAGACAGATAGTGTAATCCATAGAGGTCTTTAGGTTCAAATATAGTGAGCCATATCAGGAAGGTAAATGTGTCTCAATACTCAAAGTAATGATCATAAGATCTTAGACTTAAATCAAGATGATGTTCACTTATAAGACACCAGAAATGCTGAGAAAAAAATCTCTTTTTTTACAATCAATTAACAGAAGTTTAAATAAATTTGTCATTACAAGACAAGCCACCATATCCATGCAGTCTCAAGTTTCCATGCCGTTTAACACTTATTTTAGGGTAAGCAAGTCAATTATAATTGATTCAGTGTGTTTGCTATAAATATGCTTTCATCCCTTTTCTCAAAGAATGGTACATCTACTGACAATTATCAAGCATTATGCTGATCATACGTTTTTTGATTTCAAATAACCTACATTAAAATCTTGCTCACTTACCTCCTTCAGTCGACGTATTTGTAGATAGTAGTTTTTACCCCAACCCACTTCTCCTCCGCCACCACTTCTCTTAAACTCTCCCTGCTCTCTTTTCCTTTCCCATGTCTACAATTTATATGTATTCTTTATAATGACAATCTAATGCAGTACTCAATCTCAATAATATATACTGAAACAAAAAAGAAACTTTCTCCAAGTTTGAATGCAGATATTCAATCCTTGAACTCGATTTTTACGTTGAATAAACATATCGGGCTTTTATACGGGGATTAGCTGACCGATTTTGCAAACAAAACAAGTTTTACAAGCTACTACATGTATATAAGTGTGTACATCTAAGTGGTACCCTTGAACAACTGGCACATACTTTGCGAAAGTTTCTTTTTTGGTTCAGTATATATCTGCTCTTTATTTTTGCTTCAATACTCTATGTTATTTACTCTATGTTATATAGCAAAAGGTAATGGAGTGCCAGTTAGGAAATAATTTTGATAAGATTGCTGCTTTATGTGATTTCATGTGATGCAAAACTTTCAAGAAAGCTGAACACCATTGAAGATAACCCATAGTGCATTTAACTAGAACCACTGACCATCCATAAGTGAGCTGAATAGCCTTCTCATAAAGATGATAAAAGCAATATTGAAATATTCCTTTCCATTCAAATGTGAGATTGAGATACCAGTGATTGTACATTAGAAGTTGTACCAATACATTAATGCAAAACAAACTGTAAGTCAAAAGTCAGTCAATAGCGAACAGTACAAATAATTGCAATTGTTTGTCTTTCAAAGTATGCAAGATGAAGCATAAAATCCTATCTAACACACATCATTTAAAATGTTCTTTATTATTGTTAAAATCAGATATTTGGTAATAAAAAGAAAATTTGAGAAAACCATTATGATTTCTTGAAAAGTAACAACTTCAGACAATAGAATGTTTCAAATGTTACCTTATATGCATTAAGTATAGCAATAGAGTCACTCTGAGATCCGTTAGCCCACTCTAACTTGTGCCTGAAAATATGAGTTTAAAAGTTACATGCATTAATCATTAATCACTCTGCATTATTGGTTTGGTTTGTTTGGTTTTACAGCGCACCAACACAGTATAGGTCATATGGCGCCGAAACAGAAAAGCCTTGGGTGTTACAAACTTCAAAAGCAACACTAGGGGTCAAAACCACATCACCTGCTGGAGCTTAGAGATGCATTGTCTCCAGTTTCTCCGAACCCATTTAGTTGCAATTATTATTTCTCAACCATCAAAGGCAACCCCTCAGCAACAAGGGGCACTCTGCATTGTGAAAATGTAACTATCATAATAGAAATATATTTCAAGCACTACTAAACTGCTAGTAAGTATACCTGCTGCCATCATTTGTTCAACGGAATCTAATAGTTATAAAGAATAAAAACAAATTTTAATGACAGATCTTTAATGTATTGTAAGTTCTTTATTCATCTTTATTATACTTGAACGATCAAATCTAACATCATAATCAGCTGCTCAACAAAATGAAACCAAGCCAGCCTAAAAATTGTCAGAATTCATGTAGTTTTCATGGAGCCTGGTATTTGTTTATTTTGATGGGTTTAAAGTTGTATTGTGTCTCTACTTGCATTAAAGTTTTAACATATGGGGACAAATGTTTGCTCTTCAAAATCTTTAGGAGGGCAAAATTGTCAGCCTCTTCAAAAGATACAAGGGAGCAAATATCAGCCTTCACAAATAAGGGAGCAAATGTCCAGTTTGTGCAATCGCCAGTTTTCACTAGCCCCATTACATAGGCACAAGGATGGATCTGTGTAGAACCAAAGATGTTCCATAAGCTATCTGGAAAGCATGGATCTGAGTAGAACCAAAGGTGTTCCGTAAGCTATCTGGAAAGCATGGATCTGAGTAGAACCAAAGACTTTCCGTAAGCTATCTGGATTGCTTCCCCTCATAAAAGAATCAAAGTCACTGGAAGGTGCAAACCAAAAGCAGTGAGGGGCAAGTGGTTCAAAGTCAAAGACCTTAACACTCAGACAAGGATACCCTGAGCTTGAAATACAATTGGAGTTATCAATTGGAAAATCCTTCAAAACTAGTTTGTTATGAAAATAATCTGACAAACTGCTAGTTTTTCTATTTTTTTCTGTATTATTGTTAATCAAGTTATAGTCTCGTACAGGTCAACAAGGTCATAGCATGAACAATGTAAATTTATACCTGTAAGCCTCCAATCTTAACTTGAATGGTTGAGCAAACACACTTTTCAGTGACATAGCAGCACCTATTATCAAACACTCTTCCAAAAGTCCAAACACATGGCCTAGCATTAGCATTTTGCCGATCTTCGTGTCAACAGGGAGTTCAGCTAGCACTCGACCAACAAACGTCAGTTCACCATCATGTGGGTTACCTGTTCCTTTTGTAGACAGGGCACCAACCTTAATAACAAAATGAGAGGCATATACTTTCCGAAGTCATCGGAAAATTGATAAAAAAGTTCCCAAAGGTGGAACCATGATTTATTACTTTGTAGATAACCACTAGGTAATGCTACATATCAAATAACTTTGCTCTTCCCAATTTCGTGTATGACAACAAAAGGGTATAAAGCAATACCAAAACAACATAGTTGTTCATGAAAATCAAACAAGTGACAGGAAAATGTTCTAGAAACAGACCCAGAGGTTTAAATGAACTAGAACTGCCACTATCATGGCGTGAATACCCCCGCATACCACTTTGTCAAAATCAACAGTGGCCATTTAAAGCTCAATGACAACCTCCCTGTCAAATCTGAGGTTACTAAGCCAGTGCATTCTACATGCTTCAAATGTGAAAATGTCAAAAACAATACACTGCAGACAGGTATTCTTAAGCAATTGAGGGGAAAAGCTTTTTTTTGTCAAGGTCCCTGTGACCTTGACCTTTGACCCAGTGACCTCAAAATCAATAGGGGTCACCTTATGGTCATGATCAACATCTATGCCAAATACGAAGACTGTGGGTCAAAGGTTTCTTAAGTTAATGGGTGGACAAACTTTTTTAGTCAAGGCTCCTGTGACCTTAACCTTTGACCCAGTGACCTAAAAATCAATAGGGGTCACCTATTAATCATGACTAACCTCCATGCCAAATATGAAGACTGTGGGTCAAAGGCATCTTAAGTTATTGGGCGGACAAGCTTTTTGAAGTCAAGGCCCCTGTGACCTTGACCTTTGACCTGGTGACCTCAAAATCAATAGGGGACATCTACTAATCATGACTAACCTCCATGCCAAATATGAAGACTGTAGGTCAAAGGCATCTTAAGTTATTGGGCGGACAAGCTTTTTGAAGTCAAGGCCCCTGTGACCTTGACCTTTGACCTGGTGACCTCAAAGTCAATAGGGGTCATCTACTAATCATGACTAACCTCAATGTCAAATATGAAGACTGTGGGGTCAAAGCAATCTTAAGTTATTGGGCGGACACGCTTTTTGAAGTCAAGGCCCCTGTGACCTTGACCTTTGACCTGGTGACCACAAAATCAATAGGGGTCATCTACTAATCATGACTAACCTCCATGCCAAATATGAAGACTGTAGGTCAAAGGCATCTTAGGTTATTGGGCGGACAAGCTTTTTGAAGTCAAGGCCCCTGTGACCTTGACCTTTGACCTGGTGACCTCAAAGTCAATAGGGGTCATCTACTAATCATGACTAACCTCAATGTCAAATATGAAGACTATGGGTCAAAGCAATCTTAACTTATTGGGCGGACACGCTTTTTGAAGTCAAGGCCCCTGTGACCTTGACCTTTGACCTGGTGATCTCAAAATCAATAAGGGTCATCTACTAATCATGACTAATCTCCATGCTAAATATGAAGACTGTGGGTCAAAGGAATGTTAAGTTATTGGTCGGACAAGAAAAAACCGACGGACGGCCGGACGTCCGCACGGACGTACAAGCTGATTCCAGTATACCCCCCTTACAACTTTGTTGTGCGGCGGTATAAATATCATACACTGAAACTCAGATCTCAGGTGTTTGTTCAGAATGTTCACTCATCAATGAATAACCAGAGTTTTGAGACAGCTAAAAAAAATGCTTTAAAACCTCAAGGCCAGGTTTTTTGGCAACATAACATTCATGGAAACAACAAGGGGCTCTAACACTACTTCAAAATCTAAATCACAAAATACTGACAAAATATGTGCCAAGGCACTGAATGACTATTCTGTGACAGTTAAATTGTCAAATTGCCCAAAAAAGAAATTGTTTATGTCAAGCCACCTACCAGCTGACATACCAGCTTTTTCCATTGATGTATTGTCTTTATAATAAGTATATCATAAGTAATACCTCTTTAAGTGTGAGAATATTCCTCTCTATATCATCAAGGTTAGGTGGAGAAAGAGCCAGTGCTAGAATAGCCTTTGGTTCCCCTAAATCCAGTACCTTCACCTGTAATATCAGCTTGTCAAGAGGACATCTCTGAAAAAATATATAAATGACTATACATACACAGGAGAATATAGGAGAATATTTCTATAAATAGGTAGACATATCTTAATTAAATTCAACACATAAGTATGTTCGCCTTTCCTAATTGTTACATGTATTTATTAATGTGATGACATCATGCACATAAAAGTAAACAACTAAGACGGATAATGCATTCATGCTCATAAGGGAAGAAATTTTAGCGTACATCAAGACTGAATGTTTTTGGTGGAAAAAGGTGTTATAGATTTTTTAATGCTATCAGAGAAGGTAACCAGCAGCATGATGAGATAGCTTATGAAATTAGAATCAATAACAGATCTGTATATACTTTTTTAACAAAGCAAATGAATATGCAAAAGATAGATAAGCAATGGGTGCCACATTAAGCTTTTTATGATATGATTTAGATGAATCCTTTGTCTAGGGAAATGCCACAAGCATTCTTGCAGCAAGCTGCATAGTTACCTATGAAAGATCAAAAGTTCTTCAACTGATTCAAACCCACAGTAAATGGGCACTATATTGATGGTCAGTAAACCAAAGTTATGACAAAATATGGAAGACATTTAAACCATGCAGTTCAATGGATAAAAAATTTATTAACTGACAAAAGTACAAACCCTCATTTCCGGTGTTCCATATTCTGGTAACCGGTGCTCAAAGAAATGTCGGGTAACCAGTCTGTAGACACGCCCATTACTGACACGTCCAGCACGACCTACGATGCGAATGAAATTATAAAGGATAATACATAATCAAAATATTGGAACATACCTAACCTTGCACTAAAATCGATGTATCTTTCTGAATTACAGGTCTATGCATAACATTACGAGAGTAATTGATTACTGATGACATATCCTTAGTACTACATTCCTTTTCGCACTATGGCGCCTTAAAAATTAATCTTTGCCACCAGTAGAGCCATACTAGCCAGTATAACCAGGCTCTAAATTATTTACTAGACCATTTTCTGTATTTTGTAATTGAAATCCATTAAAATTTAAAGTGTAAGTATCTTGTTATTACAACCCCTTTATGTATCAATGGATAAGTCCAAAATCAAAACAAGGCAAGTTCATTAAACAAATTTTTGGTAAAGTAAGAAAACATAAGAATAATAAATTAAGTACATTTTTGTTTTTGTTTACCTGATATTTTAAATTGATCATTCATTGGAATAAAAAACAAAAAATAGCCCCAGTGAGCATTAGAATTTTTACTGAAGTTTTATCATAAGCTTTAAGTCAATGGTTTAGGACAATAACATGTTAATCTGCCTAGTTAATCTGCCATGTCTATAAATGCAGCTACATCTTTGGCATTATTTTTGTCTGGATTATATTAATGGCACAGGTCCAGGAGAGACTAGTATAGTATACTTTGATACTTCCAACAAACATGAAATCATCAGAACAACAAAACTTAATTGCATTGATGGACTTTATTATACTTTGAAAACATATAAAAGAGTACCTATCTGTAATGTATGTTCATACAAATGTATAATAACTAAGAAAATATGAAATGTGTGACTTAAGACTTACCTTTCCTTTGAGTACAGTTTGCTACTGAAGCCCAGTGGACTTGAAGACTGGTATAGTTGGTGTCAAAATCACAAACCAGATTCTTCGTCAAGCAGAAATCAATCACTTAAATAAAGATCATACTATCATACTCTTGGCTTTAACACATCTTCCATCATAATTTAATTTGGTTTTCTCACGAGACAAGAAATTTAACAATACCAGGGTCAAACCCCAAAATCAATAGGGGTCATCTACTGGTCATGACCAATCACCAAAACAAGTTTGAAGTTCCTAGGCCTGAGCGTTCTTTAATTATTGATCTGAAACCGTTTTTACCTACAAAGTCAATGTGACCTTGACCTTTGACCCCAAAATCAATAGGGGTCATCTACTGGTCATGACCAATCACCATACCAAGTTTGAAGTCCCTAGGCCTAAGGGTTCTTTAGTTATTGATTGGAAACCCTTTTTACCTTCAAGGTCAATGTGCCCTTGACCTTTGACCACTTGACCCCAAAATCAATAGGGGTCATCTACTGGTCATGACCAATCACCATACCAAGTTTGAAGTTCCTAGGCCTAAGGGTTCTTTAGTTATCACTCGGAAACTGTTTTCACCTACAAGGTCAATGTGACCTTGACCTTTGACCCCTTGACCCCAAAATCAATAGGGGTCATCTACTGGTCATGACCAATCACCATACCAAGTTTGAAGTTCCTAGGCCTAAGGGTTCTTTAGTTATCACTCGGAAACTGTTTTCACCTACAAGGTCAATGTGACCTTGACCTTTGACCCCAAAATCAATAGGGGTCATCTACTGGTCATGACCAATCACCATACCAAGTTTGAAGTCCCTAGGCCTAAGGGTTCTTTAGTTATCACTCGGAAACCATTTGGTCTACGGACCGACGGACCTACGGACTGACAAATGCAAAACAATATACCCCCTCTTCTTCGAAGTGGGGGCATAATAAGGCGTTTCCATATAAGTCTTTTTATGTGCTGTCACCTTGTTGTTTAATGCCAAATTATGTATATTGGAATTAAAGCTAAAAATCATTTAAATAACCTTTCCAACAAATTTCAAGAATATTTGGACCAAACAGTAGCCTCTAGGGAATACAGACGAGTTTACTGTAGATACAAAATCCCAGAGTGAAGAGGTAATAACATCTTCAGCACTATTTATATACATACCATATTTTATATCTGGTACAGTGATGGAGCTCTCAGCAATGTTTGTAGAAAGTATCACCTTCCTGAATCCTGCACATGGCTGACAGAACACCTGAGCTTGCTCTTCCATTGTTATTGTTGAATGTAAAGGAATGAGTCGCAGTCTGTGATTGTAAAAATAAAATAATAAACTCAAATAAATATGTGGAAGCTATTTACAATCAAAAGTGGAAATACCTAAGGTCTTTAAGGCCTTATATTAATTGATATCAATTGATATCATGCAAAAAACATATATGAAATTGAGAAACACCAGTTAATGTCATGGAATTATTTAATGATAAATAAAGATATCTATATACATGTACACGGATAGACTTAGTGTGACTCAATCAAACAAAAATTTAGTTTTATCTGATACAATATCAGACCTGCGTTCTTGTTATTTTGCTAAGCTTTCATTTCAGATTAAAAATCTTTTCTTGCCAATCAATTTAAACACAGGCACTGACTGACCAACATTGTACTTATCTATGTCGGTGCTTAAATTTCACAAAGGGAAATAATTCAGTTAAATTCCATTATTGAGTTATTGGTTTCAGATTAGTAGTGACAATCACGATTAGGTATGGTAAACACTATGTTAGGTTTTAAATGAATACTTTCAGTGATGCTTGAGAAGCAAATAATGCACAAAACACTTAATAGGAAAATTTTAAGTGAATACTATCTATCTATCTTCCACTAATGTCATACCCCTCGCAGGGATGTAGCCATGAATACTGAGAGAAAATTAAGAAACATTAAAGTGCATGCCAAACCTCAACCACATTATAACTTACTGGTGCTTGGCACTTAATTTAAATAATGCTTCTTCAAGGGAACCAATCTCAGCCAAACCTGAAATAACAAAAATATCAAAATGTCTCAACAGACCATATAATACGCGGAAAGTCCGAGCGGGGCCGAAGCGCTCTTAGATAACATGTATGACGCGTATCAATTCAAATGAAATCAAATTAAAAGTAAATGAAAATTTCCAAAAAATATATATCCTATACCTAATGAGCTGTAAAAAAATCCTTAGTTAACTGGGCGCCGCCATTTTGAAATTCTTTTGAGCTAAATATAGATATCACAGCGCTTTTAATGAGCGTCTACATAATTCAGACTATTGCTAGCAGACGCATGCTAAATAACACTTCCGGTGAAAGAATGATGTACAAAATCAGAAAATGAACATTCATTTCATTCATAAGAACTATAGTAACGATAATAATTGTAAAAAGTTACTTTTAAATCCTTTTTGATAAATTAGCACATTAAAAATAACGTAAAAACAACAGATGTGATTAGAGATTAACAGAAAATGGCAGACGGGATTTTCCAAACGCCGACGCATGCGCAGTGGTCCCTCTTCCGATAATAGGTTGAACACCACCAATTTATTGGTTTCTGATTACGGTACAAAATACCTGCATTTACTTATTAACGAATTGTATGATAGATCTGGTTAACATATACACTAAACATGTTATGCTTAAATAATAAATCATAAGAGCTTTCCGCGCCATAGGTAGCACCTAATTTCATATTAATATATGTTAAAGACACCAACTATAAATTATAGAAAGAAATAAGGTTTCACTTTGACAGTTACCTTGTTGTTTTTTCCCCTAACATTTTGTCCTACTTGCTACATATGATATATTTTTCCATACATAGATTTCATTTCCTTTGTGTTTTCTTACAATGACAATGTTAAGTGTTAAATCATTTGACATCTTTCCCACCTTCCACTGGCTGATAAAGATTGTCAATACTCATTTTATATATCATGTTCAGAAAAAGTGGGCTGCATAGTAAAATGGCAGACTTCAGGTTTATATTTAATGAGCCACGCCATGACAAAACCAACATAATGCGTTTGCGTCCAGCAAGGATCCAGACCAGCCTGCGCATCTGCACAGTCTGATCAGGATCCATGCTGTTCGCTTACAAACACTATTACAAGTAGAGAAACTGATAGCGAACAGCATGTATCCTGATCAGACTGTGCGGATGTGCAGGCTGGTCTGGATCCATGCTGGTCACAAACACATTATGTTGGTTTTGTCAATGCACCAGAAAGTGAAGTCCCCAATCATTTGAAGAGAATATACCTGGAAGGAACACAAGAACAGTTCCCCGAATTGGTGCAAATCCTGTGGCATCATCAAGTCTGAAATATTAAATAAACACAAAAACATTTATCTATTTTTTAATAACCTTCCAGTTCTTTTAATCCTTTAAATAATTTACTACCAATTTACAAAATCTTTTTATTTTCGAACCTTCTTCTGTATGTTTAATCTTCATTTAAACATTATTTCTATTTCCATTTTATGTTAACCCAGGTTATCTCAGTTAAGGAAAATCTCCTTTCATTAAAAAACCTCTGACTTACACATTTGAATTTCAGGTGAGACAACTGTTTTGATAAAATATTTAGTACAGAAAGTGTAACCTCTATAATCTATCTATGTTTGTCCTCCAACACTGATTATATGAGGGATTGTCAGGTAACCAGGTTTGCATTGGTGTAAAAAATAAGGAAGAATACCTTCTTGTAGAGTAAACATTATACTGCCAGCCAGTACTATACATTACCATGCAATACTGTTAGAAATCTATTCTTACCGCCAGACACAAACAAACACATGAGTTAAAGGCCCATTATGCCTCGGAAATACTTTCATTTTTTCATGTATTTCTCAAAAGTTTTTTTTTTTATAATTTTGGTGTACTTTTATAGTACCCTAAAAGTTTCTCATTGGCCGATTACCTGAACCATCTTGTTCATCTGATGCTTTTTGGTAATAAGTACTGTTATATTGAATTTGTATTTTGTATGGAAGTCAAAATACTACTTTGTTTACATTTTGCTACTTATATGACAAATTATTTCACATCTTTCACTATTTTTATAGGTGACAAGTATCTAGCATTCACTAAAACCATTATTTAAACATGATAGAATTCATGATTGCCTTTTCTTAAGAAGTAAAAAATTATTCATATACGAGGCATAATGTGCCTTTAAGTAGTGGTACTTCAAGCAATACAACATACCCTTGTTCTTTTTCTTCCAGTCTATCAAAGTGTTGTATAAGTTCCACAGCCAGGTTACGAGCCTCTTGAGATATGTGTGGATCACTTTCTTCAAGTGGAGGTATCTAAAAATACATTATATGTCATACACAAGAGTTGTTGGTCGACTATTCTCCGTGCTTGATAGTAAATCAAGAGCCTGGATAATGTAGAATGTTAAAAAAGGCCATTATTCTGTCAAAATCCATGTTCAAGTTATGGGCCTTAAAAAACTACCTCATATTATGCTCTGAAGTAAAAGTGTGAAGTTTTATCCTAGTCCCTTGAGTCGTTTTGAAGATACCAACTTGAAAGCAAAAAACAAAGAGTGAATACAACGCAATCAAAAGGATGAATACAACAGCTCTCTCTATTCTCCAAATAGTCAAGCTAAAAACAAAGAGAATCCAAGCTATAATCTCATCTTAAATGTTTGTCAGAAATAACAAATAAGGTTATTGTAATGCCATAACCTTTTACCTCATATATACGCGAAACAACGCACTTTCGACCCCCCCCCCCTTTTTTTAGGCCTGAAATAGTGAAAAAATGTCCTATTTGGGCCCCAAACACATGTTTTCGTTTGAGAAATGTTGCTAAAAAAAGTGAGCACTTTTTCGGCGCCGCCCCCCGTCCAAAAGATACATCAGGGGTTGCCAGAAGGGGGATGTGCCCCCTTCCTTTTGGGGGGGGGGGTTGAAGGGGGGCGGAGTCCCCCTCATCACCAAGAAAATTTTGGACTTGTGAGAGGCTAAAAATGACCCCAGGTCGATCATAACGTAACGTGTAACCAACGCTGAAAAGCCTTTGACTCTATCTCAATCCCTTGAGAAGTTGCAGCACTTTAAAATAAATGGTGGAAAATTGAGGCAAAATATTGATTTTTGGCAATTTTGAGATGTCCCCTCGTTGCCATGGTAACATTAAATTTAAGACTGAGCATTTCGTTACAAAGGCAATGGTCCAGTCAAAATTTGTGCCAAGTTTGATTAGTATTGAAGCATTTTTCATAGTTTCATAGCAGTTTGAACTTGTATCAGGAGGCTTTTCAGTGAAAACGGCCATTTTTCACAATATGCTCATTAGGGAAAGGGTGAAAAGTCCTCCTTGTCAAACTCCTATATAGAAGAAAATTCAAATATCCTTTGTATTTTTACATTAACCATTACCTACCTATATTTCTATGATCGACTTGTCTGGATTTGATTTTTGAAAGGTCTCTTAGGGATTTAAATATTAAAATTGTGCAGCTAATGTGATGGCTCTGTAGTGATGGCACAGGCACTTTGGTCCAGAGACTTTTACAATATCAGTAATAAACTTTAGTCAAGTAAGATACGAAACTATATATAGTGTAACTTAACTTTAATGACATCATTCAATTAATCAAATGTGTAAATCATGATAAAAGAACAATTAACATTTTATCACTGATAATATTTTCACCAAAAGATAGTTTATCTTTACCCACATTTAACTTATCTAAATACAGTGTAGACTGTCTTCAGTGACCTTCCATTGGAGGAAACAAAAAAGGTCACTAGATACAGGGGATCACTAGACACAATCCCATCAGTTTTGTCAATAGATAAGTTTCCTTTTATGCCATCAATGTGATTTTATAAAATGGATAGAAGTACATTACTACTTGTATAAAAGGCAGTCTGAAGGACAGCTAAATACATATACCCTTCCGCAGCAGACATGAATGTGTACTTCTTGACCTTAAACCAACCATGACCTTGATGTTATGCCATGTATATCATAAGGCAAAGTCTCATGATGGTGATTATTTGTGCCAAGTTATTTAAAATCTTCCATAAAGTCAAAACCTTATGGGGAACATATAACCTTGACCTTGGTGGAAGCAACCTGGATGTAACTTGGGGGTAGCAACCTGGATTTTGTGCTCTGCAGATTGTGTCAGGGTGGGAAGATTTGTGCCAAGTTGAATTGTCAGTAAGTTATAGAGACGACATGAAAACTAAATGTTTTAACATTGGACCTTTGAGTGTGACACAGACCTTGACGGTAGTGACTCGATTGTTGCGCTCTGCAAATAGTGTCATAATGGTGAGCATTTCTGCCAAGCTATCTTAAAATATTGCAGTGGTTTAAATGTTATGGAGCAGACACAAAATATAGACATTTTTACACTTGACCTTTAAGTGTGACATTGACCTTGGGTGTAGCAACCCAATTATTGCCCTCTGCACATCGTCTCATAATGGTGATCATTTGTGCTAAGTTGTTTCAAAAATTTCCAAAGAGTTAAAAGTTATGGACTGGGCACAAGTGTTACAGATGGACAGACAGATGGACAGACAGTTTATGAGACATAATCATATTTCTGGCAGTTTCATGATAAAATAATTTATGTAATCAATAAGTATAAGTTCTTAATATCCAGTCTTCATACCATTAATTTTGATAGGGACTTTAAAGCAAATATTGAGTGAAAACAACCACAACATTTTACAATCATAAAGGCAAACACATTCACAGTTTTATCATACATAATTATGTCTGTCAATTACATAAATCTGATGATAAACTACTGTATAATTATGTAGCTATTTTAAGCGCACTTTCCATTAAGTTGAACACAATAATGTTTACATTATTTGTTCATACCATTATGATATAATGGGTTGTGCAAGTTGAGTTATTACATTTTGCATTTTTATTGCAACAAAGAAGAATAAAAGAGGCCATAAAAATGTCACTCCAAGTAGCGTATAGCTTAGAGAGTTCAGTTCATGAAGCGCTCAGGTTATGAAAACATTTTTTAAAGTTCAAATCTTCAAATTTGTGCACATGCTTAGATTATGGCTTTTACTTTCAGAACATACTCTTTATAGTTAGTCACATAACTTTTCATTTTTCACTTTTATAACTTGTAATCAATTTAATGTTTTGCACAATTGAAGTAAAACTTACAAGGTTATTGAATGTATGTTCATTTTAAAACGTCATTGAACAGATTGAATTATATTTTTATTTTCATTCTAATTCCATTCGCCACACTGTTAACAATTTTGGCTCATTTATATAATTATTTATAAAAATAAAAAAAAATGAGTAATTGTTTTGGTTGTAAAAGATTTATGTGATAAATACACGGTAGTATACTTTTATGTAAGAATTATCTATACCCTATATTTGTCAATATTGATCTAAATAGATAATGGAAGGAGTATCTTATTCGAGCTGTACCTGTGGCTAAAGTAACACTTCAGTGCACAGCCTATACACATTGAATTTATCTCCTAATTACAAATTGTTTAACATGTTGTTAAACAGGTCAATATTACCAATTTTGGAGTAAATTTAGTGTCATAAAACACATCTTCCAGGGTGTCGCTACAGACATACCAAGTATAGTGCAATATGCTTCTGAAGGAAAGTTATAGGGTTCCCGTTTATATAGTCTCCACTGTATATACATATCTTTATCATAACTGACAACGCAGACACTCAAATCACTTCCTTAAACAAACTACCGATATACTAGGCTAGTAGTGGATTTAATTAAAACAAAAGATCGCTAGATTGGTGAGAATTTCTTACTTTATGAATATTAATTTATGAATATTGTAACTACGTGTACATCTTTTACTGTTATTATTTGTTCCTACTTGACATGACCTTCTGTACTCTTTTAAACCTGATCTGTTTATTTAACAATGAGAAAAAACTAGTCAAGAAAAGAAAGGTCCATGTTGAACAATGATTAAGAATAATGAGACTGAAATTTCAAAGTGTTTCTGTAATTACCTTGTCCAATATTAAGATAATTTAAAAAGCCCTCACACTGAGAAGTATTACTTTTACTTCAGATATATTTACACCAATAGAAAATGTCCGAGGAAGCCGTGTTTATTTCTCAGAGGTTAGACTTCTTGGAGTCACAGGTACAATCTCTGGTTCAGGGGCAACAGTACATTATACGAAAACTAAACCAGCTTATTAAAGCAGGGGGAAGTCAAACAGACAAACAACCTCCTAAAATCATCAGAAAAGAAAAAGGTAAAATATTTTAGCCTTATATCTTATAATTTATATAATAAGGTTCAAGATGAGTGTGTGTAATAGACATGTCAAATGTTTAATTTTGAAATGATCCATATAGTGTTTTTAAGCAATTTTGAAAACAAAATCATAACTCAAAGCAGCAAACAGTAATGGTCCTGGTCAAAGCGCAATGTCAACAAAAGTCTGGTATGCATCTATGTCATAAACAAAACATTAACACTGGAGCCACTTACTTTTTGGTAAAAACAAATGATACATATCCTATAACTCATGAAATTTTCTTTTCCCCTTCAATATTTTGAACAAAATTTCAGCCTATTGCCCCTACATATTTTTTTTTTTTTCAAATCTCTAAATGTTTTTTTACTTCAGGTTCAAAACCTTCAACAAAAGATGTATCTAAACTACTAAACTTAGCAGAGGCATTGCAGAGAAACATTGTGAGATTTACAGATGATCTAACCTTCAAACAAACCAGCATACCTGATCAATTAGTCGCCACTGGATGTCTTAGCGAAGATGAATCTGCAACTATTTCTTCGTTTCCTAGTGACAAAGACAAAGCACGAAGCCTAATACGGAAAATAAGATCACGGGGACCTCAAGTTATAGAAACATTTCTAGACATTGTTGGCGAGGATCATCATCATCTTAAGGAAGAAGTTTATAAGACTCTAGACATTATCGTAAATGAAGGCAAACAGAAACCAAAATGCATTATTTGCATTATGCAACTGACTGTTGACCTGAAAGACATTGGGGACTTTCTTTTTCAAGAAAAGCTCATATCTGACAACACACATGGAGACATCTATGAGACTGAAAGTTTTCATAAAAATAAATCACAAGTATGGAATGAAATTTTAAACTCCATAAACAATTACGATTCTCCATACACAGCTATAGAAATATTGAAAAAAGCCCTTCATAAAAACTATAGTCACATAGTGGAATATCTAAATGAAAGCCCTGAAAGGTCATTTCTATCATGTTCTTGCTGTAAAAGACTCAGAATAAGACAACGCCAGAATAGATCCGATTCTACTGCCTTCTCAAGTCTTACAGACGAAAGCACAACCTCCGAACGTCCAAATTTCAGCAGTTCTTTACGGTCACTAGACTCAAACTTACAGTATGACAGTCATGGGACCAGAATACCAAGCTTAACAAGCAGTATCACACCTAAACAACTTCAGGAAATAAAACAGATATACCAAAAGGAAACACAGACTTCAGGTTTTTTCAACCCGCAAAGTGACTTAGAAATTTCCGGTGAGGAGACAAACAATGTTCAGAGTCCAGAAAATATCACTGAATTCCAAGAGTTACCAAACACAGCATGTATAAATCAAAGTATCGCAAGAATACAACTTATGCATAGTTCAAGTATGGACAGTAACACGACTATGTGTGAAGAGTTTACCGATGATTCTGTCATTGAACAGGACCAAGTTTTAACTGAGGAGAAGGGAAAGCGAGATACTACAGATCATAATGAACTTGCTAATGTCAACAGTGATATATTAGAGGAAATATTTAAAGAACAATCTTCAAATGAAAACCAACATAAATAATTCAATATAATTTAATGTAAAATTTTGTCACTATTATGTATATGTACTGCCAATTTAGGCTGTCATTGAATATTGCGATATTGATACCTCTTTGATATACAAGATTCAACATTGATTCACAATATCACTACAATTTCATTATAAAACCCATTTTTTCTGGGTCTTGTGCAAATAGTTCTCATTTTGTTTGAAGGAAAGTCACTCTAACTCTTTTATTCTTGGCTAGCTTTAACCATGAATTTAATTTTTGAGAGGTCACAGAGAAATTATTACCAAGAAAACTTATGTTATTTAAGTATATTGTATTTCTGATGACTAAAACAGGTATGCATAACACTATAAATACAGTTTATAACACTCATTCAAATGATTTCTACTTTTTGCGAAGTATTCAATTTGATATATTTATTTGATATCAGCTTGTGATATATATCAATAAAAAATTGATGAATTAATGATCAATGACTGCTGTTTGTTTGATTGGATTTTAGGTTGCACAAACACAGTATAGGTCATATGGTGACATTTCAGCTTTACTGGTGTAGGAAGACCTCAGGTGCCCTTTTGTGCATTGTTTCAGGCAAGAACGAGCTCCTGAGTAGAACCACCGATGTTCTTTAAGCTAGGTTAATAGTCAATGATCACCGTACTATATAGTTTAATTTTATCTGTATTGTAAAGAAAGATTAGGCTTATCCGGACAACTCAACAATAAGCATTCTTGAACTTATTAGTGGTAGCGCCACATGAGGAAACATTGTTGTGGTCCCAGTAGGGCTGGAACCCATTATTTTAATCACAAGAAGACACTAATTAATGGTTTGTTCATCAGAAAAAGTTTTAATAACATTTCTATATTTGATTGTTTTCGGTTGTATTATGGATTCGATATTATCACAGAGAGGAGATGAATTGTTAAATTTTACAGAGAAAATAAAGGTCAATTCTATATATTTCTTTATTAATAGTCTATCTGTTTAGTACAACAATATAACCAGCATACAAAATTCTTCAGTCTTAGTTGTTACAGCATATTTTTCACAGATTATTCATAGATATTTGTTTGTTTCAGTGTGAGATTGAAATATTTTTCAACTCAAGAGGCTACATTTACTCAGTTTTGCTTGTAAAGTCATACTAACTTAATCTAATCATAACATCATAAGTCAATATGTTATGCAAATTGATATGTAAATTTATTGACCACACTTCAAACAATTTTTTTTTTTTAACAATAAAACATAGGCATTTATTATACATAGGCATTTATTAAAAGTATACTTTTCTCTGTAATACTATGTTGTTTTTTTTTGTGTGTGCGAAAATGAGCAGCATTCGACCCTGCCATGAAAATATATATTCCAGCCCCATCCCCCCAATATATTTCTTATTCCCCCCCTAAATGATTGTAATAATTTTTGCTTATTTAAAAATATTAAAATTATCCAAACATCTTAAATTGTTGTTTTAATTATTTATTATTATTTTTTGGTTGGGTTTTACGTTGCACCAACACAGTAGTGGTTATGTGGTGACTTTCCAGCTTTACTGGAGGAGGATGCCCTCAGGTGCCTCTCAGTGCATTATTACATTATTTCAAGCACAAGCAGGAACCTCAGTAGAACCACCCACATTGCATAGGCTAGCTGGATATCTTCCTCAGACAAAAAAAAAATCCAAAGCCCAAGGCCCTGTTCAAACCTTCAGCGATGATAGGGCAAGAATTATTTTTATTAATTACAGTAAAATACAATCAAGTGTCTACAATACAGAGTAGAAAAATTTCCCTTTCAACACATTAGTAGCACCCTTTCCATTCCTCCCATGGCCCAGAACCCCTCTACCTCAAAAAATGAATAATAAAAAACCCACTCCATTTATTTAATCTCTTACACAACTTGCTGCAAATATCATAACCAGTAAGAATATTGGACATGTGTAATGTGTATATATATATATCCAAATTTTGATCCTTATCTTTCAACTTATCCTTTTTTTGATCCACACATTTTATATCTTGTATAATTTACATAATTAAAATAAATGTTGTTTTTTTTTTTTCAAGCAAATTGTCACATCTGTAAAATATTTTATAACGTGCAAGGAAAACAGTATCATTATTAAAAGATCCTTATCCTTAAAAGTTTCTTGTAAACACTGGGTCAAACTTACAAATTATTCCAACATGTCAAAGCTACAAAGATACTGTGAATTAACTTAATTTCTTGAGCATGAATTTTCGTGGTTTTGTCACAAAGAACATGTTTGTGGGTTCTTAAATTTTATGGATTTTCTATTTTTCCAAAAGGTAAAATGTAAATAATGTGATGCAAAATAATCATACAGCAGACAAAATGAAATTTCATTGCATCTTAAATTTGTGGATTGACCTATCCATGAAAAATAATTATTCTGCAACAATAAAGAAATACAGACTTACTGGTCCGAGCTGGATAAGATCCTCAGCATAGTACTCATTAACCTTGAATGGTTTTCCTTCAACATCTACAACAGGTGCTTGTTCTAGACGATCTCGTACTGGCATGGCAAAATACTGTGCAAACATCTCGGAATCAAATGTGGCCGACATAAGAACCACTTTTGTGTGACGGGAATTTGTACGAAGAAGTTTACGTACGACTAGCAATGAAAAGTCTGTGTCCTGATCTCGCTCATGTACCTGAAAATTCATTTTCATAGTGAAGATAGAGAAATTCTTAACCTCCCTGGATATTGACTTCTGAATTCATATGTAAGAACCATACAAGTTCCTGGCACATCTGAATGTCCTGTCCTGCAACAAATTAATCATCTCCGGGACAAATACCATATTTCTGGGACAATCCCGGTAGTGTGGGACATGTATGACTTTTAACTGGTTAAAATATATAAAAATATCTTGCTTCAATTGATGTAATTGTTCACTTGTACTTTTGAAAGACTAAAATTTTCTTGCCCCGACCTTACTATTAGTTACCACAAACAATATCTAATACTTATATCCAGACCACATTAATTTATCACTTAGAGTTTTAAACGCTGATTTAGATTTAATAATGAACAGAAAATAGTAAATTAATGTCCATTTTCAACAACAATACCAGTACACTTTAGCTGATTTTACATAACAATGACATGTTGTAAATCATGCTTTACAGGTATACTTATTATTTCAGGTAGACAGACACCTTAGAATCAGAATCCACTGATGTGACTGGCCATGTATACATTACCTTGACAGACCAAACTATCAAGTCCAATTCTATTGGTCTGTTAAGCATTAAGTAATAAAGGTATGATATAAACACAATAAACTCTTCAGACAGAAATTCAATGTCCCCAAAGATACTTTATTCCATTCTTTAAATCTTAACATTACAGGTTTCCATAAGACAGCGCAATTAACTATTTTTAGTGCTTGACAATAAAAGGGGCCTAACTCTGTAAAAGGTAACTCAGAGTTATGGGATCTTTGCCCATAATCACAGAGAACATCACAGAGAACAAGTGAGTGAAGTTCAACCCATTCTTTTCAGTAGTTTTGGAGACATCAACTTGTATGCAGGAATTTATCAAGAGAGTGACAGTAATGCTGATGCAAACACCAGTGCGAGTATAATAGCTCTCCCTATTCCTCAAATAGTCAAAGTAAAAATGAACATGTTCATGCATTTAAAAGAAAGTCTGAAATAATTTTATTATGACAAACCTCATCAAGAATGACGTGTGTATATTTGTGCATATTTTTCTCATTGATGAGCTTGTTAAGAAGAATCCCTGTAGTACAATATAGAATTCTGGTGTCATCACCTGCTTCCCTATCCAACCCCACCTGCAACCAGAAAATACAAGTATCTCTAATGTCCTTAATGTAATGTTGGTCAATTCTGCCAGGCAACTCACTTTAAAGTTTTTTAGAAATCATTTTGGACTACTTCAGTTAATGTGTATTTTCTTCTATAGTTAATGTGAAAATTAAATCTTTTTCTTTGACATTAAGTTATAAAATAAAATCTCAAATTTAACCTGATAACCACAAATTGTCCCGAGCTAAAACTTCAGTTAATATGTACATTTTCTTCTATAGTTAATATGAAAATCAAATTTTTTTATTTGAAGTTAATATATAACAAGAGGGCCATGATGGCCCTAGATCGCTCACCTGACTTATCAAACTCATCCAAACAATTACCTAGACAAGCATTCTGACCAAGTCTCATGACAGGTGAGTCAAAAATGTGACCACTACAGTGTTAACAAGGATTATCCATATTTGAGCAGTGCGACCTAGTTTTTTACCCAGGTGACACATATTCAAACTTGACCTAGAAATCATCAAAACAAACTTTCAGACCAATTTCCAGGATACTTGGATCAAAATAGTAGCAACTAGAGTGTTAACAAGATTTTTCTATTTTTAGCTCCGGTGACCTAGTTTCACATGCGATTTTGAACTCATCCAAGCAATTACCTAGACAAGCATCCTGACCAAGTTTGATGATAATTGAGTCGAAAATGTGACCACTAGAATTTTAACAAGGTTTTTCCATATTTGGGCGGTGTGACCTAGTTTTTCATCCAAGATGACCCATGTTCGATCTTGACTTATCAAACTCATCCAAACAATCTTTCAGACCAATTAACAGTATATTTGGATCACAACAGTAGCCACTAGAGTGTTAACAAGATTTTTCTATTTTTAGCTCCTGTGACCTAGTTTTTCATCCGAGATGACCCATGTTCGATTTATTCCCAGCAATGACCTAGACAGGTTTCCTGACCAAGTTTGATGACAATTGAGTCAAAATTGTGACCACTAGAGTGTTAACAAGGTTTTTCTATTTTTAGCTCCTGTGACCTAGTTTTTCATCCGTGATGACCCATGTTCGAACTCATCCGAGCTATCACCTAGACAAGCATCTTGATCAAGTTTGATGATGATTGATGCAAAAATGTGACCGCTAGAGTGTTAACAAGGTTTTTCTATTTTTAGCTTCGGTGACCTACTTTTTCATCCAAGATGACCCATGTTCAATCTCATCCGAGCTATCACCTAGACAAACATCCTGACCAAGTTTGATGATGATTGAGGCAAAATTGTGACCTCTAGAGCAAGGGGGTTAATCCATGCGCGCGCATCCTTAAAGTTCTGATACCGCGAACACTTCATCGGCCGGTATTTCGAAGAAAAACGAGTGGTGTGAAGAAATCAGAAAAGGTATGAATTTAATTTGTTTTGCAAAGAAGATGTCCTAACTTCTAGTTTTTATATACAAAAAGTCCTTAAGTAAATCTTTCCTGTTTTGCCAGTATTTCGCGTTGAATGCGATTTTGATTCTGGATAGTGCGTACAACCGGCGTTGAAATGTTACAGAAAATGAGCAAATATCGGTTAAACTGGCTGTTTTAAACGGCTGGAAGTTATTCTGATATAGAATCCTTTTCAAAAATATATTTTCAACCGTCGTTCCAATTCATTTTTACTAAAAATGTATTTAAACGCACTATTTACAGAAAACAGAGATAATGATATTGCGTACACTCAAAAAATATCCAGATACTGCGTACACATAACTATGCAATTGATAGAAAGAAGCAGACTAAGGTTTATAAAACGATAAAGGGGATTGCATCGGTGTCCCGTTTTAATCTAAATCCTAGAAAATATTTAGAATTAACATTTATTTATGCAATTTATTTAGGTATTTATGTAAAACCTGGTGAATAATTGTCTATCTTGATAATGTTTTTATACTCTACATTTTAAAATAAATTACTTCTTTTTACAGTCAAATGTATATCTTATTTCAGAAAATGAATGTGTGTCGATTTTGTGGTGAATTCTTTGCCAGTTAATCTTTTCTCAGACAGCATGAGGCAGACATCGGCAAGATGGCTTTTTGGAGTACCAAACACACATGCAGCGTCATTCCTCTGAACGCAAGAACGAATGTAAATGCGACAAATCGTTCAAGACATCTCATGATTGAACAAAGAAAGAGCCAAACAAAGGAATTCAAATGTGATGAATGTGGCTTGGCCTTCTCTAATAATAAAGATCTTAGGTATAAATTCAGGTATATATGCAATATTTACAGACACTCTAAAATGCACGAAGCGTGAACATTGTGGGAAAAATTTCCAAGCAAAGCAGCTATTTCGTCCCATCTCTCATATGCAAGTAAAGATCCTCTCAAGTGCAGTATTTATAATCAAAGCACAGAAGGCGCTGAATTTGTTTGGGTCTCAGAATGTCAGAAAGATGAAGGTTGTATGATTATAAACCAATTTGTTTTTGTATAGTGCAACCAATGCTTTCCAGTGTTTTAATTGTAGTAAATTGGCATAAGACTCATTGCAACACTGATATTCATTTCAATGTTTATTTGACTTAAACAATTTAAAAAAATGAGTTGACCTTAACTGGGATTTGAAGTTGCATGTAAACGGCCTGAAGAAAACCATATTATTCTAAATGAGGGTTTCTTACTCTTATTATTTCGACGCTAAACCTGTTGTTTAACACAGATGTAAATAATCATGGAGCTTACTATAAGCATGTATATCTATTATTAAAGAATAAAACAACATTAGAAATCTTCGACCATTCGGGAACTATTTTGCTTGAAAATTAATGCGCCTGTCATTTGACAATCTTTACGCAGTGATCTCCCCTGAATTTTTTGGCGTTAGTGTACATATAAAGGGATGTAACCGCTTAAAAAAAACGGACTACTTTCGGCATTTGCAATTAACAGCATCAAAATTCGAAATTTCGCTACCATTATTTGTTTGGTCTAAAAAAAACTATTCAGTCATACCAAAACTGTTAGGAACACATGAAAAGAAAACACAGTTAAAACTTCGTGGAACATGAACGCATTCCAAAGAAATAACTTTCTGCAAACGTTTTTAGTTCAAGTTACAAATATATGCTATTTTCTTGTGCAATTTAATTTACCATGTTTTTTGCCCATGGAGTGTATGTAAAGATTGCATTTATACCCGAATGCTTTGCCTACCATTCCACATTCATGACGTTTTCTCTTCTTGTGCTTATCTTTGTGATCACTAATATCTTTATTATTAGAGAAGGCCAAGCCACATTCATCACATTTGAATTCCTTTGTTTGGCTCTTTCTTTGTTCATGGCGTTTTAAATCATGAGATGTCTTGAACGATTTGCCGCATTTACATTCGTACTGGCGTTTAGAGGAATGACTCTGCATGTGTGTTTTGTAATGGTACTCCGAAAAAGCCACTTGACTACATATATCACATTTGAAGGGACCATTTTGCCGATGTCGTGCCTCGTGCTGTCTGAGAGAAGGTTCACTGGCAAATAATTCACACATTCATTTTCTGAAATAAGATATACATTTGACTGTAAGAAGTAATTTATTTTGAAATGTAGAGTATAAAAAACATTATCAAGATAGATAATTATTCACCAGGTTTTACATAAATACCTAAACAAATTGCATAAATAAATGTTGATTCTAAATAATTTCTAGGATTTAGATTTTAAACAATTCTTCAAACGGGACACCCATGCAATCCGCTTTATCATTTTATAAACCTTAGACTGCTTCGAATAAAATGTACTTTCTATCAATTGCATAGTTATGTGTACGCAGTATCTGGATTTTTTTAGAGTGTACGCAATATCATAATCTCTGTTTTCTGTAAACAGTGCGTTTAAATACTTTTTTTAGTACAAATGAATTGGAACGAAGGCTGAAAATATATTTTTGAAAAGGATTCTACAACAGAATAACTTCCAGCCGTTTAAAACGGCCAGTTTAATCGATATTTGCTCATTTTCTGTAACATTTCAACGCCGGGTGTTCGCACTATCCAGAATCAAAATCGCATTCAACGCGAAATACTGACAAAACAGGAAAGAGTTACTTCAAGACATTTTGTATATAAAAACTAGAAGTTAGGACATCTTCTTTGCAAAACAAATTAAATTCATACCTTTTCTGATTTCTTCACACCACCCGTTTTTCTTCGAAATACCGGCCGATGAAGTGTTCGCGGTATCAGAACTTTAAGGATGCGCGCGCATGGATTAACCCCCTTGTAGAGTGTTAACATGGTTTTTCTATTTTAAGCTCCAGTGACCTAGTTCATAGTTAATATGAAAATTAAATCTTTTTCTTAGAAGTTAATTTATAAAATAAAATCTCAATTTAACCTGATAACCACAAATTGTGCCCAGCTGCCAATTTCTCTCCTGACAAACTCTTCTGGCAATACTGATTGCTGCAATTCTTCTTGGCTGTGTCACGATAATATTACAGTACTGGTTTTGTTTAGCGTAGTAGTCGAGGATATACTGGGCAACTTGTGTAGTCTTACCAGACCCAGTGGCTCCCTGGATCACAGTTACCTGATTACTCTCAATCGTGTTCACAACCTGGAAATATACAGGTATTATAGACAATCATGAATATCACAGTATACAAGTTAAATCACTGTACCTAGTCTTGCCAGCCTATACAAAACAATGTGTACCCTATCTTGTGATAACAAGCATGTGTTCTGATCACTGTACCCTTCTTGGGAGCCTACATATTTCAAATTGAACCTTTCTTGCCATAATAGGAAGTAGATTGTTTATATGCTGTGAATATTATTGGTACTAACCGTGATGAATTTTGTATCATGAACTCATCCTACTTTGAAGTATTTTGAAATTGGAACAGTCCGTTGTACGATTTCAGTATCAAAATGTTTAAACAGTGTTTACTACATGTATGTTCAGACAATATTCCTGTTTCTCTTCATATATTCTACTTGTTCTTGGTTTATCAAAGGAAGAATTTAAACCATTTTAGAAATTTTAAATATTATCTTTTATTATCAGTATACCTGTTCCTTGCACCTTGAGATTGGCAATCTGTCATCATATCTGTGGTTAAAGTTGTAAACTCCATACACTTGTGTCGCATTTTCCGGAGCAAGATCTGAGGGCAACACTTCAGTACCAGCTATTGTGCTGTCAAGTTCTAACGCTTCAAGATGGCTGCTGACCATTGACATTGTATCATCCCCAGTAACCTATATACAGGGGAAAAAAACTCAATTTTGGAAAACAAAAAATGTCAAAATATAATAAGTGCTAATATTATAAGGACTTTTTACATCTAGTGTTGATCACACTTTCCATGTTTCTACTCAAAAAGAGAAACCTGCCTATATTTTAAGACTTTTCTTTAAAACCCAGAGAGATAAATTGCTGGTCATTATAAAAATTGCTGTGTTTTAAAACCAAATATGTCATTAACTGCAACCTTTAAGTTTTAATTAAAGAAATTGAGAAAAGCATTAAACTGTTGACAATGTACTACACCCTATTTCCTCCATCAAACATGATATCTAATTTAACAAGTGATATACATATATGGTACTTACAAATGAGGATCTGCTGATGAGTTTTTCATCTTCTTCTCTTTGATATTCCTCAGCATAATCATGACCTCCATGAAAGTCTGGCTTTCTGAGTATAAAAATACAAAAATAAATGCATATAGACAGTTTAACAATTATTCAGTATTTTACCCCCGTCCCAGTTTTATTTTGAAACAGTGTTTGAAATTTTTGAACATATGCGCTGAATAACAGTTTAGGATTGAACCAGTTGATTATATTTCACTCAGGGCAGTGCCCAAAGTGAATGATCATGTCTGACCTGCTAAAGTTGTTAATTAAAGAAATATGGTAACAAACATGCACTTTAAATTATCAATACAAAACGAACTGGAACAAATCAATATATTAAAGAATAGTTTTCTAAATTTCCTGGATTTTATTTTTCTGACACATTTTGCCATTTAGTTTCTCTTCACTTAAAAAAGCTGTACATTCAATAAAGAAATATTCACTAGACTAATATGCAAAGTTTTCCAGAACACCAGCATTTCCCTGTTTTGGCAACTAACTGTAAATATAACATAATTTGACTGAATAATAATGTGAGGAAGCTATCCAGCTAGCTTACGGAACGTCGGTGGTTCTACTCAGGTGCCCGTTCATGCCTGAAATAATGCACGGAAGGGCACCTGAGGTCTTCCTCCACCAGTAAAGCTGGAACGTCGCGATATGACCTATACTGTGTCGATGTGACGTAAAACCCAAAACAAACAAACAAAAAAGACTGAATAATACATCTATTACTCATAATCATCCGAATACCCCTACACTCCTACTTTCGTTTTCGCAAAGTAAGGCGTATGACAACCCTTTCTCGGTATCAAGTTGGTTTACCAATGACATATTGAAGTATTTTTAACTAAACAATATCATTATTTATAACGGAAAACCTTTTATAGTGGGGTATATGATGATGCTGTGGTTGTTTTGGCTGCAGTGTAATTGGGTCAATGGCTCTTCCACCAGTGAAACTTTTTGGTACTGTTTTAATCTTAGAAGTCTTCTTGCCAATCTTAAACCAGTCATCAATCTGGTCCGGCGTTATTTCAGGTATCATGCTCATTTTGAAATTTAAAACCGCAGAACTTTTTTCCACGAAGCATGGATACGCTTGATACTATTTTGGTTTCCCAATAATCAAGCTCGCCTATTTGTGGCAAACTTTTCCCGCCAAAACAAAATTCCAAAATATTTGCCGATAAAATCAACTATTTTTGCTAGCCATGCAAATGGGAAGAGGAATCCGTTCGCTGTTATAATATAATAGAGAAAATCATGACTTTCCTTCCGACTAAAATGTTATTGATACCATTTCTTTCATCGCAAACAATTTTTACTTTCATGTTCCAGAAGCCTAAACTCTTTTATCTGTACCACTAAAATATGCAACAGAGATTTTTTGGCGCAACGGGGTGCAAATTTTTAAATATAACGATAAAATACGATTAGCAATGCATTTTTTGAATATGCAAAAATAAAATGTTACTTTCCGACTTTTTTCTTTTCTTTTTTTACCATCAAAAGCATTTTTACAGAAACGGTAAATAAATAAAATTGCGTTTTAGACAAATATTTTACACAAGAATGGAAAAAGGAACATATGCACGTGTTTTAACTACCAAAATATGAATGATTTATATAATACATATAGAATAGTATTTTTCATATTTGTATGGCCATTATTGACGACAGTTATTATATGTCAGTCGCCCAGCACTTCCGGGAAAACGAAACCACATTTCGTAATCTATACATCCCACCGAACATTTTGGTAAATGAAACATTTTGTTCATGATCATGACCAGTTACTCCATAAATAATTTAATAACGTGAGCCTATTTTCAGCACTAAAGTTTTAGAACATATGCAAGCACAGTCATTATGCTGATCAAAACTTCTGTAACAAGTATATATAACATTTGAACGAAAATATCAAAAAATGCAAAAAAACACATTTTCCATTGAAAAATGACATTGACTTGAGATCCCATATATACTTTGGGCGGTCATTACGTGCTTCAAACAAACATACTTTGAAGTTATCAGCGAATGATTTGTCACCATGTATATCCAGTAACGCAAAATGTGCAAAGAACACAGGAAATGTGCAAAAGTAACGCAGAATTGTGCAATTTAGTGGCTAAAACGAGCACCGCGATAAGTAACTGGTCCAATATTTTTCATTGTACATCAAATTGGAATAAATGAATGAGCACCACATACGGTTGCTGAGACATAATACTTTAAACCTCATCAAAAATATATGCATGAAAATGATTATTTTTCAAGATCATTCGTGAAAATGACGACCTGACTGGCGTATTGATGGCGATTTTTAGTTTCGTTGATATCTTTGAATACAATAACGTACGTATTACTTTATGATTTTTTTTAATTCGATGCACCTGAGACATTTTCCAATCTACTCGTGTCATATTACACTTAATTTAGCAGATAAAACGTAATTGAGACAATTTTGACGAGGTAACGCCGAATTCGTGAATGAAGCACCGAAGCAACGGCGGTTATCTCATTAAAAGTAGCTAAATCCTATTTTACCAGCTTCCTTCATATTGTTATACGACACTTGTAGTTTGACAAATGTCTTAGGTATACAAAATATGAAAAAATATAGTTTAAAATGTGTTAAATGTACATATATATTTGACGAAACACAAAAGTCACCTTCAAAACGGTAATCATGTTGTCTTTCTCACGAATGATCTAAAAAAGTAAACATATTCCAGATAAAAAAAAAATGTAATGCTGGTTAAAGTATAATGTCGTAACAGCCGTATGCGCTAATTAATTTCTTAAATTTGATTAAGAATAAAATATTTTGGTTCGTTTACTGACTGTGTTATTCGTTTTGTCGATAGCGTTGCACAGTTTCGGCTTTTACGTACCGGAAATTGCACATTCCTGCGTTACTGGATATACACGGTGTTTGTGTCTTCTTTTTTATCAAGTACTGAAGTACTGACGAAAGATTTTTTAGTCAGATATGTATTTCCTCTAATGAATTATAGACATAAATTAGACATAAAATGGTATTATAATTATGCTTATGGAAATTACTTATGGAAATATTAATTAATGAAATAAATTTTGTTGTTGTTGGTTTTTTTGGGTTTTTTTTGTTCAAGTTCAAATTCATTTTTTTTTCTATTTTCTTGTGGTATGAAAATTAAGATATTTCACTCGTGGCAACCGTCACTCGTGAAATATTTATTTTCATAGCACTTGATGAAAATAAATCCTGTACTTATAGAAAAAAACTTGAATATCCACTATGTATTTAATTTTATGCTGTTAACTGAAACAAAGTTTGATTCTGTGACATGATGTCAGTTTATGTCCCAAGTTTAGTTGCTTGGAGTAGTCTAAAAAGCTCAGCTATTTGTACTATAAGTACATCTAGATACATTAGCATTTTTAATACATTTAAGAATTTAGTTTTGTATATATAAACTAGTATACAGAACAACTGAGTATAAACTAGCTTTATTTTCATAATCAATTTTCTTTCAAATGAAACGAAGTAGAATTTACCTTTTAATTTAAACAAAAGGGTAATATTCAATTAATAAACAAATCTTTCTCAAAAGTTTTGCATTATTTCAATGAAGACCATAATGTTAATGTAAATATATTAAATGTATATAATATGTTTTATATATCGGTTGGTAGTGTGAATGTATAAACTTTAAACTGATCACTTGCCAAGTTCGTGATTATGAAGTACATTTCATCAGTATTTCATCAGAAAATTTACTATCATATGACAAATACACGTGACTCATTTACTTAATTAAGGTAGTCTTAAACCCGAGGTACATTCTACACTTAATAATTCTTTTGTTCCTTCATATATAACATGCATACACACTTAATGATTTTAAAATAAATCGACTCAAAATGTGTGAAATAAACCGAAAATAGTAATTGTTTATTGAACATGCTCAGTATGCCAGAAGCGAGGATGTTATTAATGTATGATTGTCGATATCTTAATAAATTCCTATTAATTAAGACTATAGCTATGAAATTTTGCAGTTATATATAGTTATAGTTATTTTATTTTATTTGAGTCTCATCCATATTTAACAATTTTAAAAGACATATAAAATTACAATTACAATATGGTCATTCTAAAAAGAATTATCTGAGACTATATGTTTACATATATTAACATATACAGTAAAGTTCCACCAAAAAAAGACCACACAAAATGATGGCCCCAACAGCGGAAAGGTCCCATCAGCGAGCCACTTCAGCTCCATAACTTAAACTCTTATTCTTTATATTGCCGAAATTTGCATGATTTTGAAACAATCAAGGTGGTCTTATTAGTGGAACTCCACTGCATATACAATTAATGAACACTATACATGTATATACACTAATCAGTAATCAGCATTTGTGGAACACCGAAGTGTTAACCCCATGTTAACACTTCGTTGCTCCACCCACACCATGACTGCACATAAACCAGACATCAATATTTTCCATATAGTTAGGCAGTTAAAAAATTAATAGGACACAGTTGCTAATCCAGACATAAACTTTATCTAAAATTTATCTAAAAAACAAGCTGTCAAATAAAACACTTAAAATTCTGTCATAAGTAATGATCAGCCCTCTAAAACCAAACTTCTTTACTTAATAAGAATAGAATTGAGAACTAGATAAAAAGTAGATTAGCAACCATGTCTTATCATGTGATAAAAAACCCTTAACTATTATTAAGAAAATCCTACCCATGTGTAAAATTAATTTATTTCGACAATTTACTACCATATATCTGGAGACACCGCAAGTCTGAAGATATATACAAGTATCGTCAAAACAAATATTATCTTATATTTTATATACAATACTTATTTTAAAATGTTTAAAATCATCTACTGAATCTCAAGTGTTGTGATACATATATCTATTTCGAATGTTAAGAATTTGATAACAGGATTTTGCCGCACACTTAACAATATTTGGATTGGAGAGTATAAAGTATAACTTTTCATCATCACTTAAATTTTCAAACCCACTATCTATTTCCATAGCTTTTACAAACAGGTCGTTCCTAATGTCAGAATAAACATTGCAGTACAATAACACATGTTTTTCATTTTCTACCCCTAAATGGCATAAAGGACAAATTCTATCATTTACTGCCAGACGCTCATATCTACCAGTCTCTAGCCTAATTGGGTATACAATAAGCAGCTACAATTAACTTTGCGACATTTGATTAAGTTCATAGGAAACGGACAGCCAAGTCTTCATGCCAGACTGTTGGTGTTGTTTAAGGGAACACATGTCCAAAAATGGTAACAAAATGAAACTTTTGATAAGGTCAGAACATTAAACAAGAAACGGAGATACACAACAAAGTGCGAATTCAATATTCTTAAAAAAATAGTTCAACCCAATAAGTACCTTCTATTGTATATAATTTTTTATATATATCGTGTCCTTTTCCATAAAATGACAGTTAAGTGATGTTTCAACAGAAATAGCATACAAATGTACCTAATTATTACTTTATCAATTATCTCCTCATCGTGATTTCTTGTGAACGCTTCAATTTGCTCTCTGTCACATTTAAATAAATTAATAGTAAGATTTTGCCCAGAAATAACGTTATCAAGAACAAGGGCTCTAAATAATGGAATGAAAATATTTAAGCCATGATTAAAGTTCTCCGCAGAGACAGACAGACAAATAGACAGACAAGCTGGAAAAAAACTAATGCCTCAAATATATTATCTGACCATTATCAGACAAAAATAAATGTTTATTGTACCTGAATACATGTATTTGATACCATATCAAATTATTAAATAAGTAGTTTGCTGGGTTAACATTACCTTAAACTGTAATCCGAAAGTCAATAAACCGATGAATGACGTAGGCAGTCATATAAAACCTTGTTGCTGCGCATTTGTTCATTATTTAACAGACGACAGGCAACGAACACATACACACAGAGCGATAAATAAATCGAAGAAAAAGATGGCTGAAATCGAGATTGACAGCATAATAGAAAAGCTTTTAAACGGTCTCTGTCCTGTTATATCATATGTACTCTTATATAAGCATATGAACCCCTTTTTGTTTAAGTAGAGACCAATTTTGGTTAAGGCAGCCTTCAAGTCTATAAACACTTTCAAAAGTTTTCACTTAACATAAAATACCATTTAAACAACCATTCTCTACTTTTCCTGAAGGCCCAACAATATTTAATTTAATACATATGCTTTATATTCATCTCAAAACAATAACTAATCTGATAAAACTAATAATATTTCGTTCACGAACAATTCAAAATGGCTGCCTCTGTAATATTTATTATTAAGTAAACTAGGTTAGATAATTAAGGAGGAAAATAAATAAAACAAACAATACATGCTAAAACACAATAAAAATGAGATATATTTAATATCAAATGTACATTATAATTATATTTCTTATATATATTTCAGTGCGAGGAGGCCGTCCAGGAAAGAATGTACAGCTCACGGAGCAGGAAATACGAGGACTATGCCTGAAATCAAGAGAAATATTTCTTGCCCAGCCGATGCTGCTGGAACTGGAAGCGCCATTGAAAATTTGTGGTATGTCTGCAGTGGAAGTTTTTGCTGTTTTTATTTAATAATGATATCCATTTCGCGAGGACTTGAGTGCTAATTTATTGATTGCCGCGCAAGTCGATGATGGATCTTGTGGTCCACCTGTTCCATGTGAAGGATTTATTTCTTTGATGAGGAAAGTTTCAATTTCAAAATGTTTTGAAAAAAAAATTGAAAAAAAGGATTGTTTACGTGTCACATAGCGTTGGACTTGTTTGAATTAAAATTAAAATAATGTGCTCGGTTGATTACACGGAATATATAATTATGTTTTAAGGAATGATAACAACTATGTCAAGGTAACAAATATTATTTTCTTTAAATTTGCTTTTACATACACATACATACTTATTTCAACTAAATGTTTAACAGAAATTGATCGTTTTTGCAGGTGATATACACGGCCAATATTACGATTTATTGAGATTATTTGAGTACGGAGGCTTTCCACCAGAATCTAACTATTTGTTCCTTGGCGACTATGTGGACAGAGGTAGACAGTCAATAGAAACGATATCTTTGTTACTGGCATACAAAATCAAATATCCAGAAAACTTCTTCTTGTTGCGTGGTAACCATGAATGTGCAAGTGTTAATAGACAGTATGGATTCTTTGATGAATGTAAGTACATTATAATGATATTTTGGGTTGCCAAATCTGTTTTTCAATGGCATTGAATACATCTATGTAATTATTTTACTTTGATAATAAAAAAGACGAATATCTATATGAAACGTGAAATACTTAATTTACATTCATAACTTTATTTGTGTTTTATGCTATTTCATGCAATTTTCTATGGATAATACTATGAAACTTCAAAACAATTTATGTTGGGTTGTGTAATTATAATTCAAATATTGTGCTTTTTTCGTTGGTCAAACATTTCCTTGTCAACTATACAAATGCTTGCCCTTAATCAACCCCTGGATAACTTGAGTCACTGATATGGCTAAAGGCATTTTATATTGCTGAATTACCAATATAAAGATGAATTATTGACACAATCATGTAAAAGCCGTTTGATTTCTGAAAAATGTTGCCGTTTAAAAACAAAAAACAAAACGAAAACCAACAACATAAATATGGACAAAACCATGCTTGGTTTAGTTGTGCTGTGTATAATTATTAGTTTAAGGTAAATTAGAAAATATGATACAACGTATATTTAATATGCATCACTACCTTCCTTTAATATTAATATATTTTGCATATATGGATGGGTAAGTAAAACCACAAAAGAACTAGTTTATTGTTATTATTATCATTATTATTATGTATGATTGTGATTTGATATCTCTAAATATACTTGCATAATTATTTTTTTTCCGTTTCTACTTAAACAGGTAATAGACGTTATTCTCAAAAGTTATGGAAAACATTTACAGATTGTTTCAATTGTTTGCCAGTAGCAGCTGTAATAGACGATAAAATATTTTGTTGCCATGGAGGTTAGTTCACTATTCCCTTTGCTTTCAGTTTTAGAAATGAATATGTATATATGTTTATATCTCAGCCAGTCCAATAGTATTATCATTGTTTGGATCATTAGCACGTTCTGTATTGAGACATTTGCATCCATGTTTTCATTTCTCTTTTGAGATCACCCAGTTTTGTTTAATTTCAGAATCTTGGCAGATATCTAAATTATGTATTGAGCTAATTTGCACAACCCCATTTCATAGTACTGCTATAAATTATTAATTGTATCAATCATTTACATTGATAATTCTTTACATTTATCAATGATATCAGTTGTTTAAAATTATTGTCATTTATCATAGAGCTATTATTGATCATGCCCATGAATATTTTTATGCCTGTTGTAACTAATGTTATGATATTAACATCTATAATCTAGGAATATCACCAGATTTACAGTCACTGGAACAGATTCGAAGGCTTGCAAGACCAACAGACGTGCCTGATACAGGTCTGTATAATAATACAATACTTAACTTCTTGATTCATTTTCGTTTAATGTTAAACTTTAAAAGAAAATACCTTAAGCCGTAGGAATAAATATAATGACATTTTGACCAAAATATCATTGTTCGAGAAGCTATGTAACTGAAAATATTCTTTTTGCTCGTTCTTCAACACAAAGAACTGACGAATATTCATTTTAATTTCCACTGCCTCTCACCTGCATGTAGTTAGTTTGAATTTGCTCCTTTAAAAAGGTATGTGTTGCCAAATAAACTATAAATTTTGAATATAACTCTGTTCCACAATGTTTGTCCACGTAACTTTTATAACATTATGCAAAACCCGTCGTTCAACTGTTCGGCTTGCAGTGTATTGCAATATTGCGTTGTACCCTTGATGCTTGGGGCGTGACAGATATTTTTCACTTTCCATACTCAACTATTTAATTTGTCTAACTTACTTTCAGTGTTCTCGGCTGACCATACCTTTCCATATTTTTTGTATATTCAAATATAAAAAGTACTTTAACGATGTTATAGTCAATGTAAGAGAATCTGCACGAGTCAGGTTTAGAGCGTTCGTTTCCGTAATCATCATGCTTACAATGAATCTTTTCACACTACCTATTAGATAACAAATAACTATTTGTTACGTGTATACATTGATTTACACGCCCGTTTAACTCACAACGAGTGAAAAATGTCCATCGGTTAAAATGTTGTGAGCAACTTCCGTTCCTCGTTGTGAGCACCCATCTTTGACGTGTGACACGATAAACAAGGTGACTTTTTCATAATTTTTGAAGATTACAGACATTTATGTAAAAATATCGGAATGCAGTTAGCTAGCTATGTGTTTTCCGAGTATGCACATGTAAAGATATTGTCTGTTGGTGGACAATTTGATGGAAATACCGTGCGACGCAGTCACTCGTGGTAGCTGGAAAACTGGAGACAACTTCTCTTTGGACCTAATTTAACATTGAAAACGTCGATTCTGGTGACGTTTTGTGCATTCTTACCTTAAACAGATGCCCACAAGTCATCAGCGTAAATTATTATCTGAAAGTCTTCGTAGAAACGAAGATATACTCTATTTTGCTTTAATCCTCGTTGTGAGCACCATAACCTCGTTGTGAGCAAGACAAGCGCAGTGCTTGTCTGGTTTTAATATGTAATTCAAATGGCAAGAATACAATTTTCAATCTACCAAAAGCAATCAAAACGTTTTTGTACAAAAGTTTTTCTTTGCAATAGTTCTTCTTTTTCTTTTTAAAAGTTTTTTTGAAAATTATTCTTCATATTCACAAGTCATCAGATTAACAGAAGAACTAATCAGTGTAGGTAAATCAGGTATTTTGTTTCGTATAATCTAGTTTGGCTGGAGTGAACATCACGGGAGTTTATGAATATTTCAACAATTTCACAGTCTGTGTGATACACACATACATATGTTTATCCTGAGCTGAAGACTGACCAAGTTATGTAAAACAAGAACTATCACGGTAAGTTGACAATGCCCCTGAAGTGGTGCTTTGTCCTTTGATTTATGGACCAGATAGATTATTTGTTTTTGGACAATTAGATCTTCAATGTGAAGGTAATTCAATGTCAAGGTGAAATACATATAGGTCAGTTGGAAGGTCTTGTCCAAAGGGGCATTGTGTCCAAATATGAATTAAATCAACTTACTTATAAAGAAGTGATGACCAATCTTAAAGTTTTTGGATGTTCTAGAAGGTCATTCACGGTACAAGATAAAAAAAATACAGATCAGTTTGAAGATCTTGCCTAAAGGGGTGTTGTTTCAAAATATGAGTAGAATCCGTTTACTAATAAGGAAGTTTTGACCAATTTTTAAGTATTTGGACAATTTGACCTTCAAGGTGAAGGTCATTCAGGGGTCAAGTTCAAATAAAATAGGATAGTTGAAAGGCCTTGTCCAAAGATGTGTTGTGCCTAAACATTATGCCAGGACATTATGGCCAATCTTAAATGTTTTTGGACAATTTGACCTTCAAGGTAAAGGCCATTCAGGGGTCAAGGTAAAAAAATACAGGTCCGTAGGAAGGTGCTAAGGGATGTTGTGTTCAAATATGAATCAAATCCGTTTTCTAATAAGGAAGTTAAGGCCAATGTAAAAGTTTTCGGACAGATTGACGGACGTACCAACTTTTGATATTTATGAGGCAAATCAGCTCATAAACACCACCTGGACCAACGTCCATTAGCAAAATTAGCTCAAAAATAGCTCTTAATTTGAATTTTATGAGTTTTTGTTCTTTATTTAACTACGGAATGAAGCTCATAAATATCATATATTTGCTCGGACTGACAGACGAACAGTTCAAAACTAATATGCCTCCCTTTGGGGTATGCACAACGTCAAGTGCAAAGAAATGCTGCTGTGCAAAAACGTTTTAATTGCTGTGGTATATTGAAAATTATATTTTCACCATCTGAATAACATATTAAAACCATACACGCACTGCGCTTGTCTTGCTCACAACGAGGTTATGGTGCTCACAACGAGGATTAAAGCAAAAAGGGTATATCTTGGTTTCTATGAAGACTTTCAGATAATAATTTACGCTGATGACTTGTGGGCATCTGTTTTAGGTAAGAATGCACAATACGTCACCAGAATCGACGTTTTCAATGTTAAATTAGGTCCAAAGAGAAGTTGTCTCCAGTTTTCCAGCTACCCCGAGTGACTGCGTCGCACGGTATTTCCATCAAATTGTCCACCAACAGACAATATCTTTACATGTGCATACTCGGAAAACACATCGCTAGCTAACTGCATTCCGATATTTTTACATAAATGTCTGCAATCTTCAAAAATTATGAAAAAGTCACCTTGTTTATCGTGTCACACGTCAAAGATGGGTGCTCACAACGAGGAACGGAAGTTGCTCACAACATTTTTACCGATGGACATTTTTCACTCGTTGTGAGTTAAACGGGCGTGATTTAATAATCTAATTTACAGGTCTGTTATGCGATTTGTTATGGTCTGATCCGGAGAAGGATGTTAAGGATTGGGGAGAGAACGATAGAGGTGTTTCTTTTACATTTGGAAGTGATGTCGTCAGCAAGTTTTGCAACAAACATGATCTTGATTTGATATGCAGAGCTCATCAGGTATGTCGGTAATTTATTATTATAAACCGCATGTTCATATGCTACCCACCTTCATTCCCGTGTGCTCAAAACAGGCATATGCTAATAAAATCGTCAAAACAAGTTCAATTATTTTGATTGAATCTTTTGGATAAAGTCATTGTAAATCGTAATATTTCATTTTTTTAATCACATGACTAAATTCTTTATTTTTTATTTCCAAAGGTATTGTTTACCCAATCAATCTTCTTATCTTTCTAGGTCGTTGAAGACGGTTATGAATTTTTCGCAAAAAGGCAATTAGTGACCATATTTTCAGCACCAAATTATTGTGATTTTGATAACGCTGGAGGGATGATGTCTGTGGATGAAAGCTTGATGTGCTCATTTCAGGTAATGCTAGAATCTTTATTTCAAAAAATCTAAATTAACCATTATTTTCCATATAGAAAGAATATATGCTTAAATTTACATCGTTTGGAAAAAATCACACACAAAAAAAAACCCAGAAGATATTCTATATGTCTCAGCATTTTCGTCATCATTATCTTAATCTCAGTATAAACCGTATCTTTGTCTGTAAGGACCATTCATTTTATTAAGCTGATGATAAGTCATGAAAATTTTCATCTTAAGAACTCAAAATAAAACTAGGTTTTTCTTTAATTGTTTCTACTGCCATTCCTTTCAAAATTACTCCCATTTTTAAAATGCATTGACGTGTAAACAGAATCGAACATTGTATTTAACTTCTGTGCCTGACCTTGTTTCTGTTGTATCATGGTTTTACTTTAACATAGTCAAATAGGTTTAAAAAAGTTTTATACAATTTTAAAAGATTGTCTGAAAACTTCAAATAAAATATATTTTGTTACTTTCTTAGATTTTGAAACCAATGCAGAAGAAACTGAAGTACAAATACGATGGTATAAAATCAGATAGACCTTTGACCCCACCAAGACTTCTCCAGAGAAAATCCTCCGTGAAGGAAACATGAAAAAAGTTTTAAAATTTTCTACAATTAAAGAGATTGATATTGCAAAACTGAAGATCTTACAGTGTCATGACCATCATGGATTCAAAACATTTTCGTGTAATTATTTAAACAGTCGTGTTAGAGCAAGGAAATGTCTAATATTTTGCTTCATTGTAGCAATACATGTATACATATTTTATATTCCACAAAGATTCCATTTGAATCTGCACTGAAGATGGACACATTATGTTTCTGAATTTGAAGCAGTAAAGTTTTGTTTGGTTATATTTTACATACATAAATATATATATATATATATATATATATATATATATATATATATATATATATATATATATATATATATATATATATATATATATATATATATTGAATGCCAATTTTATTAAGTTTGTTATTGAACGGTTTCCTTTTTCTAAGTTTTCTGTGTGAAAGAAGTCGCTTTGTTCGACGCAGAAATTGTGTCGTGTGACTTCTTGATTAATTTGAATTTATGTATATTGCATGTATCTATTATGTCATATTTTGTAGTTCTTTTTAATAAAATAAAATTGTTTTATTGTGTTTTGCCTCAGCAAATTTACTATTATTAATAGAGTGTTTTCTGCCATAGACAAAAATGTCAAATGTCAAATCATATTAAAGTTGTTAATGGCGGGTTTAAAGCTGTGTTCTAAATGTGTTTTCCTTGTTTTCAATGTATTTTAGAAACTACAAAAAGGAATGCCATAAAATATATACTTTATTCAAAAACTAAATAAAGAAGTAAATACACTTAGAAATCAATTCATAAATATTTCGAAGGCAGTATATACGTATGTTCATAGAGCTATGCCATTTCTTCCTTTCTAGAGGCAAACTATTAGGTTTAATTCCAAAGCAGATTATACCTTAAACAGTGACATATATTTGATTTAACTATACCAGTGTTATACGCTGTCGTGTTGGAAAAAATACTGACTTTGTTTAAAAACTAAAATACACACTTAAAATTCTTGATAAGGATATTAACTTGTAATATTAAAGCAATAGAAGTTGTTTTATAGACAATAATTTGTCTGTTATAAAAGACTCTACTGTTATGAAACTCTTGTCATTTTGATTATATATAAGTATTTTAAATAATATTTTTAAAAATAAAGTATATGCGTAAACCCATCTTATTTTCATATCAGTATACTGGATAGTTGATAATATTGGAGTAAGTATAACAGCAAATATTTCAATAGAGTTCTCAACAACAATAGACATATACAACTTTTGGCTCATTTGAATCTTAATATAATTTCTAAAATTAAGTAAACAAAGATTTGTTTGTAATCTGGAAGGTTAACATCAGTGTTCATAAGTAAACCAATAGAATGTTTCTTTAAGTAGTTAGGTTTTAAAACGTTTCCTGCAGGTACGGGAACAAAACACTTAACTCCCCAAAAAACTTCACCCCTAAAATTGTGAAGATACTTCATCTCTTCAACACACTTCATCCAAAATCAGTAAGACACTTCAGTCACCCCTCACAAGAGTAAGTATTTCAATAAAAAAATACGCTTTTCTATGTTAATTTTCTTTACTTTTAATAATTTTGATAAATATTTAACTCCGGGCAATTTTAAGTATATTTATAACATTTAAACATAATTGTATCATTTTGGTCAATTTACAGTTATCCACGGATTTAAATTGTCAATTAATGTCCTAGAGTTATCATACACAAGAAACTTTTAGAATATAAAATCAATTAAACATTTTACATTTAACAATTGGAACTCTAATCAATTACAACATGTAAAAATAACATGAAAGACAATTAAAAGAGGACAGTGTACAAAATTAATAGGAAAAAAATAAACATGCGGTGATATAGTTGCTTACAAATAAATATACATGTATTTATGACTTTCAAACAGTAAACTAACGAGGTAGTACATGTCAATTAAAGAAGAAAGTAAGTATGAAAGTGGATATAGTATCATCATATATCTATGGAGAAACAATCACACCCTTGAAATGAGTGATAAAAAATTATTAGAATTATAAGAGTTATTTGAATCAGTGCAATTTTGAAATAATTATAATAGAAATATTTTAGACAAATGAAAATGTACATTTATTTATGATATTACATGTTTACTATTTCACAAATGCCTTAGTAGTAACATTTTTCATGAAAATAAAAACAACAACACCATTTCTATTTTCTAAGGTATACATTTAATTTATAATACAAATATATTCAAACAATAAATATTTTTAATCACCATTGATAATATTTCAATTTTTCACCTTCATGTGAAACACAAAACCACAAATTGGGGGATGTAGCGTCTCAATCAGATTTCATAAAATGAGAGGTGAAGTGTCTACAAGAAAATGGCTCGGGCATGGAGCTAAATGTGGCTTGGGTAAACTGTGTTAGTGAAATTTATTTAGTGTTCTAATACCTGAAATAACAACTCGATTAAATTCCAAAAGATAGGGTGCACATACTATTTTACTATTTTAAAGTGCTAGAATAAATTTTGTTAATGGCACGTCAAAAAGTAAAATATATCATATATTTCAATATTACTTGTCGATTCAGCAACTGGTCATATGTAAAGACATAAATGAAGCATTAGTAAAATTACATGGTTGTGCATTACTGTATGAGGTCAAAGGTGTTGTCGTATGACGTCACACCTTAATACTTCCTTACAAAATGGCGGAGACAGAATTGAATGTTGACAGCTTGATTTCTCGGCTTCTAGAAGGTTTCTACCTATAATATATGTTACCTTGTTATGAATCACGTCAGTAAATAAAAATGTGCAATTGTGTCTTGCAAATTTTCACACTTCATCGAAAATTTGGTCAAAATGTTCATCTTTTTTTGGCAATAATTTAAAACTTTCTTTTTAAATTTTTAGTTTGTTTTGACAAATATTGTACACCAAATACGTTTTTCACTTGAGATTCCATAAAGATTCATTGGCTGTACAATATCATACTTAAACTACGCGTATTCCAGTGTTCCGTCTTTTTCTTTCCATATCGTGTGTTTGATAATTCATAAACTGAGTCACAAGCTCTGGCTTCCAAAACTGTAGCTTAAGGTCTTCAGCATACCTGTTTATAAACTATGACATGACTTGAACGTTGAAGACAGACGCGTAAGGAAAGTCCACCAATAATCGTGCCAGGAATCACACACACTTGTTTCATTCATGGAACATGCCATGAAGTAAAGTGAAGCATACCTTGATAAAACCAGATTTCCTGCAATACTTCGGTCAGACAGACATGTCTGATAAATTTTAATTAGGTGTGACAATCAGGGCTCTAGCAACTGGGCGATTTCGGCGACTTAGTCGCCTAAAGTGTCAGAACTTCGTCGAGTTTGAACATCAAAGCGAAAACGATTTCGCCGCATTTTTTTACTGACCACATGTACATTTATATCATACAGTGCATGTTAATTAAGTTAATCCTCGCCTCCAGGCATAAATCAAACTGAATTGGTGACGCACATGCAGTTACTGCCGATAATTGACATCAATTAACACATTTAAGTGACATGATATGCAGATGTAAACATCACATTTTTTAGGCATAATTTTACGACACCTGCCACTATTTTATCAGCGAGTGTAAAAAGCTTACACCCGGAATTGCTCTTACCATATTTGACAGTAATTACACGCAACCTCACACAGACCGTGTAAATTTACTTGCATATAAATTAATACACACAGAAGCACAAGTAAATGGTTTGATACCTGTTTGATAGTAAAAATGAAACTTGTTAAAGAACTTAAAAAACATTGACCCACATTAGACCAATTTTGGACAAGTCAAAAACAGTAGTAGATAAACTTTGTCTTCAAAAAGTTACATAAACCTCGGTAAATTATGCGGTAAACTACAAATTCGAAAATTTTGTTTTACAATGCCTGTTGCAATAGCGGATGAATAACAATCTAAAAATAATCATTGAATATTTAATTAAATATAATCAAAATCAACAACAACTAGAATTGTAAGTGTTTCTGCAGGAAACAGACAAATTTTCAATTGTCACATATTTTCGCGATGCCGATTTTTACGATGAAAATAATAGTTACCAAAAGGAAAATTTGTTTTGTTAAAATGTGTCCAGTAGCACTTAAAATGTAGTTTATTAATGAAAATTCCTTAAGGTATGGTTTACATTAATTTTCATTGAGAATTTTGCCAGTATGTGTTGTACAATGAATATTTTCTTAAGGGAGGGGGGTGTGTGGAGTTAATCAGGAAGAAAACATTATAATGGTCTGATGATAGAGGGTTTTAGAACTTATACTTCAAACATCACTATCAATAAATAGGTAAAACTCCTTTTTATAGATCAAATCAATGTACTAAGCACTTTTTCACTTCTCCTTATGTCGTCAAACTTCTCCCTGATAGGAGCTGAGGGAGAAGTCATTTCTCCCTAAAATTTTGGTCTAGCTAGAGCCCTGACAATTCTTTATTCCGGATCGGTCCGGCTGTCCCGCTTTTACACATGTCACACATATACAAAATGGCGTTGCTAAAATATTACGAAGGTGCCAAACCTGGGAAAACAAAATTATACATCAGAGGAGCGTGCAGAAAAGAAGAAAAAGAATAGACCTGAAAGAAAATTTAATAAAATATGGAAGCAGGACCATCAATTGTTGGTGTACAACATGGAGGCGGTGAAAATGCGCTGAAAGAAAGAGCAGATTTTACGTTAAAAAATTAAAACCAAAAGTAATTTTAGAAATACTTATACAAACACAAGTTTTCCTTTGATTTTGATAAATTTCATTCGGTCCGACAGATTTCGTTTCGGTTTGACAGATTTTCATGGTATGTCAGACCAAATGTCTGACTTTTTTCTGAAAGTCTAAAACTTTGTATAATCTGTTAATAAGACTGTTGTCAGTGTAATTGATGCTTCACAGTTAGATAGCCAATTTTAATGACAATATTAACAATTGGATACTTTAAACTGTGTAGAACGATATTAAAATAATTGTTTTATCGCAAAATGCACAAGAATTAATTGGGACACAGGTATTTGAAAATGAAAAATAAGGTTAAATCAACGTATGTTATTTTGATAAGGTTTCATAATGGGTCTTATCCAAAACTTTAATGCCGCATCAGATGAAAAACAAAAATGTTAGAAGGTTGCTTATAAAGTTTTGGAAGCAAGAACTACCAAAACTGTGTCTAAGCCGCTTTTTAATATTTTTGTTTTTCATCTTCTGCGTCATTAAAGTTTCGGATCAGACCTGTTAAGAAACCTAACCAGAGTGACATACGTTGATTTAACCTTAATTTCCATTTGTAGATAACCTTTTTTCCAATTAATTCCACAGACACTCCGGGTGTGAAGCTCCAAACACCTTTAAAATCCAAATAAAATGTATATTTGTCAATCCCAGCATATGTACCGATCATATATATAAATAAAAACTTAATATAAGCGGTTTGAAAAAATTTCATATTTCAACGTCTATAGTAATACACAAGATAAAAATGTTCGCACACCTTCCGTCAAAATCACCATGTTTTTTATTTCATTTCCAATATTTTCAGATATAATTCTTCAGGCTGATGGTCAAAAACAAAACAACAGGCGAAATAAACTTCAAGATTATTGCCGTTTTCCTCAATTTGCAAATTCTTTCGACAAATTCAGAATTGGCTTCGCAGCTTTGCCATATTCAAATACGCCGCACTTTGAATATGGGAACCAACATATTAGCAAAAGGCACCTTCTATAGACCCTTTCATTTAAGCGATAACAGTAAGGGAAGAGTTACTTCCCTTACCGGATGTGACGTAAATGGGGGATAAAACTATGCAGGGCGCATAGAATGTTAGCTTTAGTATTGAAAAGTTAAATGCATAAATACTGACCGTTCAATTATGATTATAACATGTAAAAATTTACGCATGCATACATAAGTTCAATATCAAGACAATAGCAAAAAATACAAAAACAAAGATTGAGATTAATTCTCGCTACGGAGTGAAAAGTGAATATATTTATTAGATCTAGATTTTCTTTAATTAATGCCGGGAACTAAATCAAATTTTAAAAACACCCATACACACTGAAATTGCCTATTATAAATTTAAATGGTCATTTTCTAGTTTTCTGTGTTATTTTCTGTCATTTAGGAAATTCCGGCGTATTTGTGACAAACATGAAAATAAGATTTAATTATGCCGTACAAAAAATATTTCAAAGAACCAGTGAAGGATATAATTTTATAAATATTCTGGAAAAAACGAAAACCATGTGGCAATGTCTTTTATAATGTTAGATTCGCACCAGACGATAATAAGATAATTTTGAAATTAAATATCTATTCTTATGATTATAAGAATAAAGACCTTTTCCCCAGTAACTTATTTCATAGATAAATAGATTGAAGCGCCACTGAGCTGTAACATATTAATAAACAGGGTGCATACAAGCGGCACTTGGCTGTGATATCATAAATCACCAGGGTGCATTTTTTAGAGTTATAACATTACATTAGATTACGTCACTTTTGTTAGTTGTCAAAATATTTATGGTCTGAATTTTGTTATGGATCATCCTAGGGACTTTATTGGTCATGCCTTACTGATTTGATACTCGATCCAGAGTCCTACCAACTGGCACAGTCAAAAATACGAAAAATTATAATTCAGTTAATAACAAAAATCTGTGAACGTGTTCACAACTTGTTTTTTTGTTGTTTTTTTGTGATTTTTTAAAAAATATTTGATAAGCAGAGTATGAATTAAAAAGTATCAAGTTAAAAATATTACTTTACCAGCTTAAATATATTGGTGGTACAATTTTTGAGAGTGCATTTTTTGCCGACACAAATAGTATACATGTACATTCATGTACATTCAAAAGAATTTTTACTTTTTATGCTTTTACATTTCTTTTTGAAATTACATATATTTATATTGTTGTTTTTCTTTGTCTTAGTTAATGATTTTTAATAAACCAGTATTTTGCAATTAATTATTACGCCGCCGTTTTTTTCGAAACGACAGAATCCTTACATTTTTGAAACTCAAAATATCTTTTGGGTATTGTATATTAGCAGAGACATATGATACATTATCTATCTCTGGTATTAGCAAGTAAGTACGATTTACTTGCCTGGGAAAATTTTCATTATTAAGAATCTAACGAAAATGGTAATCATGATCAGTTACCCAGCAATATGGTCTACTATTAAAACAAATCGTTAACCTTATTATAGTAAACATTTTATTCATTTCAGCATCCATTTTATGTAATATCTTATTCAATTACACAAAATTTTGGCAGTTTTAATCTGCCAATCTTACAAGAGAAAGGATTAAGATCTTTATATCCCTCTATTATTGTACTTAATCCCACCGTATCCCCCAATGACGTCATCCAAGGGCGACAACTTTAATACGGTCTTAAATGAAAGGGTCTGTAGTCAGTCTGGTTCTCATCTTTAAAGCGTGGCGCAATTCAATATTTTATATATTAAAACTACCTTTACTTTGTATCACAATTTATTTTTTTAACAAAATGGAACATAAATTTAGAAAATGATTAATGTTTCAGATGTATGCACACATTTTAAACGACTGTTCATTTTTTTAACATATTTAATATGCGGAAAAAAATCTGTTTTATTGAAGTTCGAGGATGTCGTCCTGGGAAGACTGTACAGATGACAGAAGCCGAAGTTAGAGGACTTTGTTTAAAATCAAGAGAAATTTTCCTCAGTCAGCCCATCCTTCTTGAACTAGAGGCCCCACTCAAAATTTGTGGTAAGCTTTTGTAACATGTTAAGTAGTTTCTTTTTAAGCCTGTGAATTTTGTTTATTTAAAGATTTTCTGTGCTCATCTTTAGGTAGAACTTTCATTGCAGACAATGACATTTATTGAAATCTAGGAAATTTTCACTGACATTGTCTAATTTGAATAAGAGAGTTAGGGTAGCTGCATTAAAAGTGCATTTCCTATTACTGGTATGCAATATAAATTTTCTTACTAATATCAGGGTATATCTGTCCAATTTCCTTGTTATTAAAGTAGATACAATGTATATAACTAGGTACCAAGCAGAATATATACTTGTATGTAATAAATAGTTAATGACATTGCTTGTATTTTAGGTGATATACATGGTCAGTACACAGATTTAATGAGACTGTTTGAATATGGAGGATTTCCACCAGAAGCCAACTATTTATTCCTAGGTGATTATGTAGATAGAGGGAAACAGTCCTTGGAGACAATTTGTTTGCTGTTGGCTTACAAGATAAAATATCCAGAAAACTTCTTTTTACTGCGGGGTAACCATGAGTGTGCTAGTATAAACAGAATCTATGGATTTTATGATGAATGTAAGTTGCAATTAACATGGAAAAAAGATATTATTGTGCTTAATTCTTTGAAGTTTATTCACTGTTAAAATTTGCTTGTGTAGTGATCATGAATTTTTATGCCCCCGCCATGTAATGGCCGGGGCATATAGTGTTACCCTGTTCCGTCATTCCGTCATCATCAGTTTCCGTTCATTATCTTAGTAACGGTTGCACACATTCAACTCAAATTTAACATATGGATACGTCATGAGAAAATACAGGTCAAGTTCGAATTTGGTCATGGTTCGATGATTTTTGGCAGAGTTATGCCCCTTTTACTTTGAAAATAATATGAAATTTTCAGTTTCCGTTCATTATCTCCCCAACAGTACAACACATTCAACTCAAATTTGACATATGGATATGTCATGATAAAATACAGGTCAAGTTCGAATTTGGTCATGGTTCGATGATTTTTGGCAGAGTTATGCCCCTTTCACTTTGAAAATAATATGAAATTTTCAGTTTCCGTTCATTATCTCCCCAACGGTACAACACATTCAACTCAAACTTGACATATGGATATGTCAAAGGAATGCGCAGGTCAAGTTCAAATTTGGTCATGGTTCAATGATTTTTGGCAGAGTTATGCCACTTTCACTTTGAAAATAATATGAAATTTTCAGTTTCTGTTTATTATCTCCCCAACGGTACAACACATTCAACTCAAATTTGACATATGGATATGTTTTTGGAATGCCCAGGCCAAGTTGGAATTTGGTCATGGTTCAATGATTTTTGGCAGAGTAATGCCCCTTTCACTTTGAAAATAATATGAAATTTACAGTTTCTGTTCATTATCTACCCAACAACTCAAATTTGACATATGGATATGTCAAAGGAATGGGCAGGTCAAGTTGGAATTTGGTCATGGTTCGATGATTTTTTGGCAGAGTTATGTCCCTTTCACTTATAAAAAAATATAGATACATCTTAGGAATAAGCAGTTTAAGTTTGAATTTGGTCGTGGTTCAATGATATTGGACAAACTTGTCTTTCTTGAATGTTGGAAAAAGTTTGAACTTTCAGTTTCAGCACTGAAATGTATGTAGCCATTATTTTGGCTACAAATATGAAATATGCTATTTTCAAAAGGTTTAGACTGAATAATTTCAGTGCCTTGAACATTGTATGAAAATGGTTTGTGTTAACATTGAAAAGTTTTAAGGGCTTTGAACTTAAAATGAAAAAAATAATTTGTGCAAACAAATTTGGCACTAAATATTATAACATTTGAAATTTTGGCTGCATGCGGGGGCATCCATGGCATGATGACACATTTCTAGTTATATTTTCATGTATATTGATTTTTGAATTATCTCGACATTGTTGAAATTATTTTCACCACATGACCACTATATAAAACCAATAATCAAAAAAATGTAACAAACTAAAAAAACAGTATACAGTATGTAATTTCCATCTATTGCACAGTTTGAATACCTAAACATATTCAGTTCCCCCAGTTCTTTAATTATCTAATTATAGTTACAAAACTATTTTGATTTGTTGATTCAACCTTTCAGGTAAAAGAAGATACAATGTAAAGTTATGGAAGACATTCACAGATTGTTTCAATTGTTTACCTATAGCAGCCATTATCGATGAGAAAATCTTCTGTTGCCATGGAGGTAGATATTTCATTTGAACCATTTTGTGAACATTTTTTTGCATGGATTAACCATTTTCACAAATTGACTTTAATGCTTCCACAGATTTTAATAGAGGTAGTTAGCTTACGTATTGAAAGCATCAACTTTGAAGCTATTGTTATCCCCATGAGTTTTTCTAAATCTATTCGGAGACTCTCATGTTAGGAATATGTTTAGTAGTAATAGTACTAATACCTAGGTGTCTTCATATGTCTGGATTACTAAAATAGGAAATCAACTTTTGTCCTGAAAACATGTATAACTCTAGAAAGTCACCACTTGACCTTTGGATGGAGCTAGAAAATTGATTGCCTTTTCACCCAAGGGAATAAACCTTAAGAAGTCTAATTTATCTTTTCACAACAATTTATGCATGATAATGAATGAATAATGTAAGAATTGGCAGAAAAAAACCAGATTTGTCTATTTTGTGATCATGATTTCTGCAAGCATCTAGGGGTACTGCTCCAATCCTGTATTGAGTTAATCTATATTGAAATAACAAAATATTTGATTTCAGGTCTTTCACCAGATTTACAATCAATGGAACAAATAAGAAGAATTATGAGACCAACAGATGTGCCTGACACAGGTATTATAGTATATCATAATGATATTATTAGTGTAACCTCTGCAGAGCAACACTCTGTAGAACAACTTCCTCTTTACAAAAAAAAAACAAAAAAAAAATAGTTTAAATAATTTTTTTCTAAACTCCACATCTAGAACACATCCATCAGCAACAACCAGAATCTTTGCCACCCTAAGGGTGATGCTCTGCAAAGGATATACTGTGTATCAATTATTATACCAATATGCTGTATTGTCTACACAAAGTGTTACTTATTTTGTGTTGTAAATTGGTCTAGTGTAAAGAACAACCATTATTGCATACCTTGCAGTGAACCTCTCACACATGTATTTTCTACTTGATTATGGATTACCTTAACAGAGAATATTGAATTGAGTGTAGGTTTAATACAAAAATTATGTGAGCCTCTGGCTAGTATAATGTTATTTTACTCAACATGTTCAATATATTTAGTAATGAAGCTTCACAAATATTATATTCTGTTTATCACATGTCCAATAAAAGAATTTTTTGGTAAATTGAACCCTGGGTGCATTGAAGTGCTTCTACCGTAATGCTAACATTTAGCATGTCTTTATACTATAACTCAAATGATGCCACATGTGACATCAAAATATATGCATGGCTGTGCAATATTGTTTTCACAGAGTCGCTTTTGTTACATGGGTATGTGATAAATTGTATAACCCATGTGATGAATTATTACAGCATTTTCAAGATTAAGAGGTACCAATGAATTACAAGAAAATTGAGAATACATTTGCAAATCTAGAATGAACAATAAAAAACAGACAAAAATTATTAAAATAAAAAAAATATATATGTTATGTTTCCTTCATCTTTCAAGAAAAGTATGATACATGTATATTTAAATTATGTACTACATTATTTTCAGGTTTATTATGTGATTTACTATGGTCAGATCCTGACAAAGATGTACAAGGTTGGGGAGAGAATGACAGAGGTGTATCATTTACATTTGGTGGTGATGTTGTCAGTAAATTCCTGAACAGACATGATTTGGACTTGATATGTAGAGCTCACCAGGTATGAGAAATAATGAATTTCTTCTCACACCCTTCAATTTGTCCGCATGCTTAGAGAGAGAGCATTCATGAGATAAGTAATCGGTACTAATCAAGGGGAAGCTGGTTTGATCCACTGAGTCAGTTGAAATTTCTCTGAAACTTGATTTTACTTGACATTTGGTCTGATGGTCGTTTGTTTGTCTCTCACAGCTGTTTCAGAAAACATGTTGGGCTTGGTAGTTGGTCATTTGAAAGAATTTGGTAAAAACTGGTTAGTTAATCCAGGAAAGCCTGTTAGGTTGACGGACCACTGAGATATTACCAAAAATTTGTTGTATAATAAACAAACTGTTACAATTAGTGATCATGCAAAGTTCAAAAAGGAGAAAATCAGTAAATACCAATTTATAAAGTTTTGGTTGTAGATTTTTTCACTAAAAGCTTTAATATATTTAATCTATACCAAAAAGTTAACTCATTCAACCCTGTACACTGTCTACCACTTAAACCCTACTGATAACTGATAAGCCAACTCCTAGGTACCTTATTGATTTTATCTAAACTGTCTCCCTGAGGGATATTGCACTGTTTTATTGACAGGTCATAAATAATAGGGGGTGCATTATGTAATTTGCCTCTGGCAATCTCATTTTTAATCCAATCAAGCTGAAATGACACATAAATGTTGGCAATAAAATTACCTAATCAGTGGTGTAACTTCCATCACTATGGCAACATGTTGGAGTGATTTATTATCAATAAAATAAAGAAGATTTTCAACATAAAATCAGTTTATTTGTAATAAAAGAACTTTATTTATTGTATATATTTCTATTAAAACATTCTTCTCTATTATATAATAATTTAAAAAATATATTGAGAAATTTACTGCTAATTTACAAATTAGAAATGAATACTTTGGAAGCATTATGCAAATAAATAAGTATAGTAATGACTGATGAGCAAATATAAGTATTATGTTATGGAGCTCATAAAACAGACAAGAAATGTAACATTTATGGTGCAGAGGTGTATATACGTCAGAAATTCATATTCATTAAAAAAAACTTTTATTTTCCTGTTGATTTTTTTTTTAAGAAAATTTCAAAGGAAACAATAAATAATTTATCTTTACTACTGTGTCTAAAAGTAAGAAAATATTAGCCGGAAAAAATAATCGATATATGAAATATGAATGAAAATTGTTATATGTGTGGATTAATTTTAGATAATTTCAAAATTATATATAATAATTATAAAAATTATAGATCTATATAATATAATAATCATAATAATATAAAATAATTACAAAATAAATACAAAAACTGTAAGCCAGTTAGGTATTTACATTTTTGTATTTCTTACATTAGAACAGTTACTATTATTTTCTAGAGCTTTCAATTATGTTACTTTTCTGGATAAAAAGGAATGAAAAAAAGGTCATCAACTAAATATTTTTGTAAACAATATCAAAATTACTGTCTACAAAGTAGCTCAATCAGAAACACAGAAAAGAACAGTTCAAAGAAATCAAATTCATTTGAGTCCGAATCAAGATCTGGATTTGGGCCTGTGAACGGTCTCTTAGGCATTGAATTCTGACCGATCGTTTGTCTTCCACTGAGAATATTCCACATTTTCGTCCGCACTTTCATTTTCACTTTGACTGTCACTCGATCTATCCGATTGATTCTATCTCACTTTCACTATCGAGACTAATGTCACAATCCGAATTTGCGCCATTTTCCGAGTCCGTATCAAACATTATGTCAAATAAATTCTTCCGACTTTCCATTTTTTTAACGCAATATAACTTTTTTTCAGATAGAGATATTTCGATAAAATTTTCACTTTCGTATAGGTAAACCTTTATACTATACATATAACGCGTTTCCTGATTGGTCAAAATACCTCAAATCTAAATATAACCCGTCGAAACAACCAATGAAATGCGCCGACATAACTCGTCACGCGGTATACAGTAGTAGTTCAATACGCGACGACTACTCTCGTCATGCGGGATAGCCGATAAATTTTATACGACGACTATACTCGGCGCGCGGTACACGATAACAGATAAAGACGACGACTATACTCGGCATACGGGTCGAATGAGTTAAACACCTTGACATTATTGTGTGCATATTTTAACTTTAGTTTAAGAATGAAAAAAGGATTTAGCTGTTTTAAGTTTTCAATTTCAGACTTTGTATAATACATTGAGTTTTATATTCAGGTTGTAGAAGATGGTTATGAATTCTTTGCCAAGAGACAGTTAGTTACGCTGTTTTCTGCACCAAATTACTGCGGAGAATTTGACAATGCTGGTGGTATGATGTCTGTAGATGAAACTCTTATGTGCTCTTTCCAGGTAATTTGATGGAGATTCAATTTTATATTTGAAATATTCATAAAAATTTAGCCAAAAATATATATTTAAATGTCTTATTTGTTTTTCATTTAGCATTAATTAATGTAAATGGTTAGCGTCAAGGTAAATGTTTAGCATGTAAAGCAATACCAAAATTTCTATTGCAATATATATCAGATTCTTTGTAATGTACTAAATTTTTCAAATCTAGAGATGTCATTATGGGATGGAAACTTAGTGTAATCTGTAGTGATTATATGTGAATTATATAGTTCAGTGGCTTCCCTTGCAAGTCGCTATTTCTACTTTAACATGGATTGTTGTAAAAGTAGTGCAATAACAAAAGGCTTGAATACTAGTAAATAGCTACTGAATACTAGTAAATAGCTACAGGTCAGGACTGAAAGGTTATTTTATTTATTTTAATAGATATATTTTATATTTCAAAATTTCCTAACTAAACTCAACTTTTTTACAGATCCTGAAACCTTCAGAAAAGAAGGCAAAGTACCAATATGGGGGTATGAACTCCGGTCGACCTATCACGCCACCACGAGGTCCACAGAAGAAAAAGTAATGTAACTGACAGTGCAGTTGACAGCACTGTTAACAGACATAAACATTTTAAACTATGGTGCCACATGTGTGATATTTATGCAGGTTCTTGCATGCGGTTGTGTGAAGCTAAATACTGTGTTAGTTTATATCATGAGGAACACTTTTGTGATCATATTGACACATAGCCAGATAGGATGAAAATTTTGCTTGCATACATGAAAAAACCATTTCTGTAGAAATCTTCTTATATTATCACTTGTGTTTTTACAATTTTACTTTACCTACGTGTACTGAAAATTTATGACTTTAAAAGTTATGAGCACACGATACTGGTGATACTTTAGCATGTTTTCGACCATACGAAAGCTTTTTGCTTTAAGATAAATCTGCACGGTAAAGGCTGCACTTTTAGTTATATAAACTACTAGTATTAGTAAAACTTTCTTAAGCAATTATTGCACGATTGTTATACAAGGTAAATCATTGTATTGCCATACCATAGCTATTGAAATCCACTGGTTGTGTCAAATGGCAGATCAGAAAAAGATAAACACCCAAGTTATCAAAATGGCAATTTGCTTATCAGCTGTTTTAAAGTTTAATTATTAAAGTATAGTGGAATGACAGAATAAATCTAAAATGAGAAAAAAAGAATTCGTCATCAGACATTGGCTTAAAATGATTTGGCATGTTACTGTTAGAATAGATACTTTGGGTTGAATTCTGCGTTTTGAATTTTATTTTTAGACGGGGAAAAAAACAAACGAAAAATAATTCATATTGATAGGCATGAGTTAGATATTGTTCATACATGACATGAACATGTTAAAAAGTGCTTACATAATTAAAGTTCTGTTTATTTTTCTAATTTCTGTTTTGTATGTAAAACATTTTTGTCTTTTAAAATGGTTTTACTGTTTCCGTAGCAATAAGCATGCACAGATTGTAACCATGATATCATGACATTATTATGATGATGTCTTGCTTTTGGTAGAGCAAATACTGGTGCTTTTTACATTCTCACGAGGGTACATCAATATATATAGAGAATTGTTCACATTTTTTATGGATTTTAAATTGATTAACGAGAATGAGTTTATAAGACTGAGATTGTGGCATCTCCCTAAAAAAGAAAATGTTTAAAAAGAACAAAAACAAGAAAAAACAGCAATTTTTAACAAAATATTAATATGAATAAGGTGAAAACTTTGCAAAACTTAACAACACATTTTGGTTTTGACAATTAAGTTTTTGGTCAGAATACAGAAATTATGTGCTGTGGCATGGTTCTCTTATTTTACAGTTGAATAATAAATGGTATACTACCATTGTTTGGTAGAAATTTTGATTTGTAAGAATTGTTTTCCTTTGCTTAAACCTTCCTATACTGATGCAGTGCTTATTTGTTGGTTATTGGTTGAACAATTTTATAACTACGGCATAGAAAGAAATATTTGTTATTATAGTTTTTAGCTATATATTGTATGTTTGTGCAAACAATCAAGAATGTCACAATTCTTGTGCAGTTTGGTTTTTTATCTAAATATAGGAAGTGATGTGCATTGTTCGATAAGGAATTTGCTCAAAATGTGAATTAGTTTGGATTTATAAATGAAAGTTTTTTTTTGTAAAAAAAATCTTGGCCTTAATATTTTTTTTTAATACATTAATTTCTTTGACTTTCTGTAGGCACATAGTAAAGTCAGAAAAGGGATATTTTTAGATAGAATTAATCATATTTGGTTAATTGTGATGTATGTTCAAATATTGTCATTTTTTTTTTTTAATTTTTTAATAAATTGTAAGCTTCATTTTAAAGAAATACTGAGCAAGTTGTAAATAGATTGATACTTCTACAAATTTATACAGGTATATTATATGAATCATATCTTAATAAAGATTATTTATGTAGTAGAACCTGTTAGCTTACTTTGTTGTGATATTAATTATGCAAAATATATTTCTATGTTTTTATTTAGGATTGGGAGTAATGATTTTGCTTCTTTGGTTTTGTTAAAATAATTTTTGATTACCTTTTATTACTTATAGATATCTTATATACATACATACACAGATCATAGATAGAAAATGATTCAAAATTGATGACTTTCAGGTCAGTTTGTAGACCAGTCTAAGAAAGGAGTTTAGCTTTTGGCTGATTCCATATTTTATTCATTTAGATAACCAATCAGCCTCTGGGAAACATTTTAAGAATGTTCTTGTATTATTTTGAATAAGAAAAAGACATTTAGATATTGGAGAAAGGATTTTGTGTCAGGGTGTTTAGATAGTTTTTGACAGGTGTAATTTAATTTAGCTGGGAATGGTTTGTACGGATGATCATGTTAAATAACAGTTCAAAGATATTTTTATCTTATATTGTTCTAAATATTTATACTGTGAAGACCAAGTTTAATGAATTATTTAGATAATAGAATAAGTGAAGTAAAGTAAATGTTTGGGTCTTGGTGAGGGCCAAGTGGTTAATTAAGATCACTGACTTTAAACCACTTGCCTGTCACTGCTGCTGGTTTTATTTGAGCCAAGGATTGTGTATTCTTTTATGTGAGGAAGCTATCCAGCTAGCTTATGGAAGGTCAAAGGTTCTACTCCAGTGCTTGCTTATGCCTGAAATAATGCACAGAGCCTTTCTCCATTAGTAAAGCCCAAAAGTTGTCATAAGACTTTAATGTAATGCCTCTTTTGGTTGGATTACAAGTCCTATCATTATATTATGTAATGTTACAACTTATAATCTAACCAAACACACACAAAAAAATGGATACAACATATAGATATTTGTAACCTGCTTAGAAACTTCCCTGGAAGATAGTTGTACATATGTGCTTTGAAAAAAACACAGAAATAATTTTATCTTAAAACTTAACACAATTAGTTACATTTATGTTTATTTATCACCTTTGATGTTCATTTATTGCTTGTACATGTATATTAAAACCCAGTGTCTGTAGATAGTCATTTGTCTTGTTTTTGTTGTGTTTGTTTTAAAAGAAGACGCTTAATTAGCGTGTTGTTTTTTCCCTCTTCTTGTTAACCATAATTTTATATCATATGTGTCAAACATTGTTCACTGATTAATGTTTTTTTCTTTTTTGTTGTATCATATAATCATATATTCATTATGTTGTTAAGGAATTTTGATCTAAATTTTAACAAAAGTAGCATATATATTTTGTACATGTACATAGAATTAGACGTCTTGTATGACAAATTTGTCTGTATGTTTATATAGAAGAAATATGATCAGTGAGTTAGGGACAAATTATGTAAGATATGAATAAGGTAAGCAAGAGAGAAACAAAACAAATGAGAGAATAATTGAGGGGAAATTTTTAAATTAAAGAGGAACAATATATGTGAATGAAGAGCAAGATAAGTAAAAGAGGAACAATGCCATGAAGAGGGAAGCAAGATAAAGTAGGAAGTAACAAGAAATATTAAAGGGAAATAAGAAAAGCAAAAATGTAACAAAAATAAGTGAGAACAACATCAGCAAGATAGAAACATGGAGAGTGAAAACAAAATAAGTGAGAAATACTGAAAGTGAGAGAAAAACAATATTAGTGAGAGTGAAGAAACGAGATGTCAACAAGATAAGTGAGAAATATTGAAAATTAGAGAAGAGTTATATAAGTGAGAGTGAAGAGACGAGATAATGTGAGAGAAAGACTTATGAGAAATTTTCATACTTTGTTTCTATTATTTAAATGAAGATTACCATAATTTTGCTTTAGTTTACCATATGTTGACCAACTCTTTTTACTTGTGTAACCATTCTTTGAAGTAAAACAAAACATTTTCTCATTGCTCCTTCTTTAAGATATTTTTGCAGGCCTGGCTAGATTTGCTTTCAGTACTACTATGTAGTTTCACTTTAAAAACTGTAAGGTTTTACAATATAGATTGCCTGGTTTTATATGAGATAAAAACTTTAGAGTGGTGATAAATGTTTGTGTGATACATTGAATTTGAGCTAGGTTTTAATTTTGATCAAAGGGATGTTCAAAATAACTGCTCTTTTATTTAAAAAAAAAATTCTCATTAATTATTGAAGTAATAAAATTACTGATGGGTACTTGATACTTGATTTGTTCTATTCATTTATAAAAAAAAAAGACACATATGGAGTAATTAATGTAGATTATTGTAACAAATTTTGTTTAATTGCACAAATCTTAGCACAAACTTATTGGTTCTTTGCTGTAAATTTAATTAACACCATGAGCATACACTGTCAGATCACATATTAATTTAAGATTACATAATGGATGATATTCATTGATATGGGAACCAAATAAAAAAAAGGTTTTCGAATAAATATCCATTCAATACTGTTTTTGTAAAAATGCATGTGTAATTAAAGGAGTATGAAAGAAAAATATGCAAATCAGAAATCTCATTATTATCAGTGTATAAAGGTGATTGTAGCTGTAACTTTTGTAATTGAATAATTATAATATATTTATGTATTTCATTTGAAGCTGTAGAGATTTGGTTTTTGGCCTGTTATGCTAATATCTTTGGAATATCGTTCACAGGCCCTTCTTATGTACTTATTATTCCATGTATTTAAACAATAAAAATATTTATATATGCATGGTTGTAGTTGTTATTGACTTAATGAGAATCCAAGAAAAAAGGAGAAAGAAATGGTAAATATTCCTGTAAGACTGATGACAATGGAAGATATTAGATAAATATTTAAAGTAGAATTACAGAAAGGGTAGGGTAAGTGTAAATGTATTTTATATGAGGTCTTTATTACAGGTTTCAAAATGTTTGGTTGATCTCAAAACCCTTTGGGTATGCACCATAGCATAAGATGAACCGTGTTTTCCTTATTCATTTGTATTTCACTTGCAATATTGTCATCAATATTTGAAGTAAAAACAGGTTTGAAGATTGATAATGCTAAAGGTATACAAAACTAGTTCAATTAATTAAAGCCAAAGAATTTGAGGGATAACATGAGTTAAATTCTAAATGAAACATAGTGTGAAAGTCAACAATAGAAAATAAATGCATTTTACATTTCAAGATAGATCATCTAAGAGCAAAACCTGAGCCAATACACCAACTAACTGAAAATGTTCTAAATACATTTCCTTCACTCTTAACCTACTGAATGTTTTATATGGACTTGTCCAACTTTCATTTTGGAACTGTACATTGCCTTCCTTGGTTATATTATGACAAAACTTTGTTTAACCACTAGTCTTGCTTTGGTGAGATACTAAGCAAATTCAGATTGGTCAAAAACTAGTGGTCAAATCTAAGGAAAGCTTGTTAGTTTAAACATAATTTTATTCCCAATAATATACATTTGCATAGCTACATGCCCCACGATGGGTTGGACACTATTGGGAGATACTAGTATATAAAGATGCAATCAACAAACAAGAATTGTTTTCATACATAAAAAGATGATTATAAAAGATTAAGATCATTCTCCATTCTGATACTTAAATCTTGTCTCTTTAAACATATTTTTACAAGATTGCCAAAAAGAAAAACCATAGGATCCTTCTGCTAAACCTTTCAAAACCTAGAAATTCTTAGTTATGTAGGCAATTCCATGTATTTTTGTTGTTGTTTTCCTGTGACAGCACTGCAGTTAAGCAATTTGTTAACATATTAAATTTGTTTTGTGGCCAACTTATATCTTTTCCTGCCAATTCTGTTGATGATGGCTGTTATTTATAGGGCAATAAAATAAGTAAAGCAGGATGCTGCTATTTACTATGTGTTTGGGTAAGTAATATACATCACAGGGACCAGGCACAGTGTTGGGATAGTGTAAAAAAGTAATTATAGAAAAAAATATATACTGTATCATGGATTTATATTACATGTAATATAAATCCGTGACTGTATATATAATATATAGACTATATATTATATCTATAGTATATATTTTTTTCTATAATTACTTTTTAACAACACTGCGCTGGGTCTCTTTGATATAAATGTGTGTTCTTCAACCAACAATTCAAAATAATTTTTTCATATGACAAAGGGTATACTGTAGAGATACCAAATTTGTTTATAATGTTTCAAAAACTGTCACATACACGCGGATTGTATATAAAAAAAATTGTCAATTTTAATCTGAAAAGAAATATAGATCTTACGGAAGCCCTGGAGGGACATTTATTATTTAATAATTATTACTTATTACTTAAAACCAATAATCATTATTTAGCACATATACCCCGTTATTTATAATTTATTACTTATTACTTATTACCTATTATCTATAACTTATTATCTGCCAGTGGCGGGAAATAATGAACACATGGTGCAAAATAGATGTCAAAAAGTACACTTCTGTGAAAAGTTACATTGTTACGCAGCACAAGACAAAAACCAGTAACAGAGGGTATGTAATGTTGTTTTTTTTAAAAATCAAATCCTATTTGTGCTGGTGTATCTTAAATGTTACATGTTACCATATATAGAGCAGTAAGATCACTGCTGGTACTATAGAACTTTTGGTCTTACATTGTATATACTTGAGAAATAACATCGGTCTGAGCGGTGTTTATCGGTTATTAAACACCAAATTAACCAGGAAGGCCGTTTTCCTGAGTGGTAACATTTTGCATCAAAACGACAAATAGGTGTTTAATAGCCGATAAAGACCGCTCAGATCGATGTTATTTTGTTTCTAACATGACCACAAAGAGCAAAGTAATGGAGATTATTGAGGCTTTTTTTTCAAGCGGATATTATTTCCGCTGCCAATTTTCACATTTGGCTGTTCTATTCAACATCCTCCTGACACTATGGTAATTAACAAACAAAAAATAATGAAGAATGCATTTTTATTTCAAGTATCGTACGTTTCTGTCTTATTTAAGTATTTTTTACATCGGAGATAGATAAATCAATTTTATCCCAATTTTATCACCAACTCATACAACTTCTATATGATGTCATTCTGGCGCCTTCATGCATGCCAGAAATAACGTCAGCTGGTTCTAAATAATGAATTTATAACATTAGTTGAATAAAGGTAAAAATAAAACTCAAAACTCGGCGCAAGTATCGATCCCTTTGTGCTACTTATGCATGTTACACAATGGAAAGGGAAAATATCAATAAAAAGCATAATTAATGTAGTTATGTTTATCAATCTTTTTTTGTAAATTGCAGGTCAGATGGAAATGCTTTGGAGTGCAAGGGTTGTACTGTTCTCAACAATTCTGATAAGCCATGCAGGAGCTGTTGTACCTCATAAAACACCACCAGTGAATCAAAATAAACAGTCTAGACTAAACTTGGTGAAAGAATATTTCAGGGATGGTTTTAAGTACTTTGAAATCGTTCTTCTTTTATTTTCTCAACACAATATTAAAATCAGCATACGGCACTTGAAGCGAATATTGAAGGCGAATAATTTATGCCGCCGAGGAGATGTTCTTACCGCAAAAGATGACGTTATTAAAGATTTGATAGAGAAAGAACTTCAGTACAGTGGAAATTGTATCGGCTATAGAAGTATGTGGCGTCGTTTAATGTACGACTATAAATTAAAAGTTAAGAGGCATGATGTAATGCGGTTAATGAGAGAAATAGATCCTGAAGGAGTACGCTTGAGAAAGGCCCACAGGCTAATTAGAAGGAAATATTGTTGACGTGACGTTATTAGCGTTATACAAATATAATGTAAAGACGCGCTAAATGTTAGCGTTATACTATAGGTGCGTCAATGGAAAATTACTCTTATTTCAATTTTTAAAAACGGAATTTATATTGTGTGATAAATAGAATATTAAATTCGTGTAAGTTCATTACTGAATTTATTGCACTCGTTGAATAAAATAATATTATGTTCGCCAGAGGCTCGCATAATATAATTTTATTCAACGAGTGCATTAAATTCAGTATTGAACTTACACTCATTCAATATCCTCTACATGTACGTATATACAACTAAACCATTGATACATGTCTTGATTCAGCAAGATTATTTAACCGAGTTTCAATCTTTTATTAGTATTAAATTTTTAGCTCGTGTATTCAAAGTATATGGACAGCTGTCCAATTCAGCCAGGCGTCCGCGTCCAGATTTCAGATTAAAGATTTTGTGCAGTTAAATATTTTTTTCTATAACTTTTTCTTGAGTTATCAACTTCAAACATACGTTCCATATCATCAACCACATTTTATGTGTTAAGGTTCATAACTCTAAATGCAATATTTTCAGAATTATCTCCCCTTGAACATAGCATTTTCCTAAAAAATATTATGTTTTACTGTTACTTATCAGGAATAAAATTCTTTGATAAATTTTAGACACCCTTCACCCAAGGAACAATCATGGCAAGTTGCGTTGAAATTGGACTTGTGGGTTTTAACAAAAGGATTTTTTAAGTTCACTATAACATATGTACGCACAAACATGAATCGCAAAATATGGCATGCGCAGTGGCATAAAGAATTATAAATTTTAATTTTCCAGGATTCGGACCAGGGTCTTTAGTCTGTTAATAAACGAGTAATGCTTCAATTTGTACAAGACTCAGATGTATTGGCGACGCCGGTGAGCGGCGTCGTCTCTTATGAAATGCTTTTTATTTTGGCCTATGGAAGGAGCTGTTATCATTAGCAGTTAATGTCATGTTGTGTTAATTAGTTTTATTTTGATTCGTAAAAATCAAGTAAACTAATATGTTGTTATATTTGTATTTAATAACATTATGTAAAAAGCATGTGCATTGTGATATTATTTTCACGAAATTGCAGCTTGTCCCTTAGCTTTATTGGCAATACTAAAACCCGAATTTCGAATATCGTTGTGGTCTACATTGATGCTGTATTCTTTTTCATTCATTTATATATAATCAAAATGTTCCTACAAGAAGAACGTTCACCTGTAAAAATGAGTATTAAGATTGGTATTGGAACTGTTGTAAACGATTATCCTATTGATTTTATCCATATTACGTTTATCTATTGCACAGAATGATTGTTTTTACAAAGTGTACCAGTATCCGGATGTTGAAAGCTATCCGATTTTCTGCAATTACTGCTGTCACATGGCCATCTAACTTTTTATGAATACTTTACCATTACTTTGCATGGCTTAATAAACCTGATCCTGCAACATTTCATAATTTTGCTCTTTAGGGTGTTCTTTTGGGTTTCAGGTTTTCTCTATTTTAAGGGGAAGTAACTCATGTTTACAAAATTATTTATTCTTTTCTGTCTATCTTAATTATTACTTACTATTTTTGTAGTATAAAATTTACCAGTTGTAAACTTGTTTAGTGGATATAAAAATGTATAAAAATATGTGCATTTACATGTCTCATCGTTCAATTCATATTTTCATTGCATACAACAAATGAAATCCCTAATTGATGCTTGTCACAAGATGCTCTGAAAAAAATTCTTAAAACACTGTCTCTGTTGAATATTTGGAAAGTCCAACTTTTCCAAGAGAACATTTGCAATGGTCGTTTCTAATGTTATGGTAAGAGGGCAATATCCTTTGTTCATATTGTATTAAAAGACCCAATTCAGTTAGTAGAGAAAATGTATCTGTCTCTACTCCCCTAAAGATATAAATTAATAACAGTCACTGTCTACAGTCTACACTGTGCTGGCAACGGCATCTTGCAAGATCCGTGCTGAAGAAATCGGCGAGATAACCGGACTTGTAGATTAGGTATAAGTATGCAGGCGAATCCAGAATGAGATTTGGCTTGTACATGTGATAAGGATTACTTTAAAATATCAAAATAAGACAAAAATATTGCGCTAATTTTCACTTACTTATTTTAATTATTAAATTTTGTCATAATTTTTACTTATAACCTTAAGCGTTAGATAGTGCCTCTAAAGCGCATTCGTAACAAAGCACAAAAAATCGATAGTAAAAATTTTATTAAGCTTTTGAAATGTAACCGACAACTTTTCCTACATAAAAACTACAATATATAATTCACTTTAATACGGAAAACAAGAACACAAAAGAAAGGCAGCGTTCAATGAACACAACCCCACACGACCAAGCAAAACATAATCTGCAATCTATTCAAAACAATTAAACATTAAAAGTCGAGATCCCACTACCATAAAATGACTTCAGTATGGCGAAAGTTCTTTCAGCTTTTCTTATATTTCACTCGTAAGGGATGATTTAGTGCAATAATGGGAATAAATATTTTAATGAAATGTAGTTACAATTTCTCTTAAGAAATGACAATAAATATTTGTAGAAATTTATAATACCTTTATTTAACACAAGGTTTTTAACAAAACGAGTATAGTATATAAACATAAGTGTGTATTAATAATTTCTGTAAGCTCAAAAGCTAATTCTTAAAGGAACTCAACTGAGATTTTTTGATATACTGAAATTGATTTTTTTTGTATTTAAAAGGACTTTAGCATGTTATATTGAAAATAATATGAAATATTGTCAGGCATCCTATAATAAGATGATTCAAGTCGTCAGTTTCACTCCCATGAATAATATTCGGTCCATGAATGAAGCAAACAACTTGATTTGGATCAAAATTGACTTGTGGGAAATAGTAAACATTTTCCTTGTCTACCAAATATTCTTTATTGTCTTTCTGTACACTAATTACTGAATAGCCATCATTGAAAACATTGTATTCTTCAAGATCATCTTTTGCCAAAGACATAGCAGTTCTGTATGATTTAATGAAAATGGAACTTCCTGTATCAGCATATACAGATTGTGTTTTTTTCTCATATGATATTTCCAGCAACCCAGCTTTAATGTTGTTTACAAGAAAACACGGACTTTCTTCTTTTGTTTTTAAACATTTATCTGTATCCGATTCTGATTTGATTTTCGTTCTTAAGTATAAATGACACTGAGATGGGTACAGTCCATAAGCTTTAACATACTCTGTGAAGCAACAGGGCAGATCATTTCTGTCTGTGAAGCCTGAAATTTCTTGTCCAGAAGCTGTGACAAGCGTAACAGCCATTTCCTCTAATAAACCAAACTTGCTTTTGCCATCCTTAAAGTAAAATGCTTTCCCTTCTACGAGTATTTCATCTACTGTTACTTCTTCATCAGAATTCTTGTATATATATCGTGTACCACCTCCATTCCTTTGCATAACAATTCTGTATTTCCCTTTGCTAAAATGTTGCCAACCTATGGGCACCTTGTATTCTGACCTCCTTCCACGCCCACGATCACTTCTAGTATAAGGACTCGTGTGCTAAAAACAGAATAATATTTAGTTTATAAATTAAAGAAGCCATGTAAATATAATTTATCATTACTTATTTCTATACTTTTATTTGTTGTTACTAAATTGTTATTTGTAAGGAGTTATAGATCTATTATAGACTTGGTTAATTGCAACAATGGCAAAAAGGAGAACAAAGAAATTATTCTAAAAATGTTATTTTAAGTCATGTTTTCAGTATGTATATATTAAATTGAATTGTTCATTACTGCTTCATAAAAAAACTATAATATAGTTGTAGCTATCATTACTTGGTCTTACTTGTTTCATCTTCATTAATATCATTTAATATAAGTTCTTAATAGACTGCATACATCACATGACCAAAGTAAATATATGTTTGTCCATATAGCAAACGACAACCATAAATACCAATCTTGATCAAATTGATTATGTTGAAATCAAGATAAATTCAATATTTGCTGTCACAAAACTGGGTGGTGACCCTGACCTATATTCTTTCCAAGTTTCCAGGTCTTAGAAAAGTAATGATGCAACAAGAAAATCATGCATGAAATTATAATATTATCACCAAAATTAACTGAGGGTGATAAACCTTTTCTGACTTTTTTCAAATTTGAATATGTTACAAAGACCTGCAGATTTGAACAAATAACCTTAAAGGTAAATGTTATCTGAAGGTGAAGGTCTTGCTCAAATTGCTTAACATATCAGTTTGTCAAAGGTACTCAATTATGATTAGCATCTGTCAAGTATTTTCATAGTTCTGACAATTTGCGCAATTCAATGAATTGGCCTTGATGCCCAAATTCCTATATGAATCATTCATTATGTGCAATTTGTCAACAGTGTTGTTTAGTCTCAGAATGATAAATAATAATTCAAATAAGAACAATGCAGCATTACATTTAGCAAAATTCAAGAATTAACCTCTAAAGTTGAAGGCCATATAAATGTCAGGATCAAGTTCAGATTGATCAAACTATAGGTACTTTTTAAATGGGTGTTAAGCATGAACATATCAAACACTTTACAGACATGTTTTGGTCAATTTTAGCAAATTCAATCTCGTGATCAATTACATCAAGTCTGTTTTCTTGTAAACGTCAAGTTCAGTTGGAATATGATAATGGCATCGAGCATTGTTATAACAATATTTTTGCCATTAAATGCAAAATTCAGGCAATATTTCACAAGTGGACCTAAAATATAAATCAATGTCAAATTTAGTTTGGGATACTGGAAGCTCTTTTCCTAAGAGTTATTGTTTTAAGTAAGAAGACAATCCAATCATTAATAACAAATAATGAATATGTAAAGTAATAAATTCTATTACTTAAAGTTTTAAAAGAGCATAATTCTAGTCAAAACAAGCAATTATCATAGTATTGCAAGCAATCCATAAGTCCCCTACCGGTTAGAACCCCAGCAACATTCTGATGGGCCATTGGCCATTCAATTTTACCAGTGAATGAACTAAAATCTTTTGAGTTCTAAGTTTGTCTATATCCCAGTAATGTGTTAAGTTTCCCTGCCTTAGTAAGTAAATTATATTTATACAACCTTGTCATATTATTATGATGTGGGATTTTAAAGTAAATCCTATTAGGAATGAAGAAGTTGGAGTAAAAAATACCAATTTCTCGAAAAAAATCTAAGTTCAAGGGGGACATAATTCTGAAAATAGTCATGCTAGAGTATTTAACCTTCTCAAAAATGTTGAGTGATAATAAGTCACATATAAAAATATTATATGAAGTTTGAAGTAGATACATTAGGAAATAAAGAAGTTATTTAAAAAAGACAACATTATTTTTCATAAAAATTCTAAGTTCAAGGGAGGTAATACTGATAATTTTTGTGCTAGAGTTGTAAACCTTGTCGCATATGATGTGGATGATGACAAGAAACTTATATTTAAAGTTTGAAGTAAACACCTTAAGAAATAAAGAACTTATGGTGAAAAAGCTGAAAAATCTAAATCAGAAATCTTGAAATTCAGGCTATTTGTTGCCATAGCAACCAGAATTTTCAACATAGGAACAAAAGGAAAAGACGTGCATAATTTCCATACTGCCATCTATCTATATATTAAGTTTCATAAAAATATTTTTAGTATTTTTTGCGTTGTCGCGGGATCCAGTTTTGTGGACGGACTAACAGACAGACAGACGGACGGAGGGTAAACCTTAAGTCCCCTCCGGTTAAACCGGTAGGGGACTAATTAAGACCTATTACTTAAGACCTATTACTTAAGACCTATTACTTAAAATTTATTACTTAAGACTTATTACTTAAGACCTATTACTTAAGACCTATTACTTAAGACTTATTACTTAAGATTTATTACTTAAGATTTATTACTTAAGACTTATTACTTAAGATTTATTACCTATCATTAAAGGTGTATAAATGTATATCCATATTGGCTGTGTAACCTAGTTTTTCTAGTAACCTAGTGTAACCATATTTGACACTGCCCTAGAAATCATCAGCACAACCTTTCACACCAATTTCCAGGATATTTTGACTGAAACAGTAGTCTCTATAGTGTTTTCCATATTGGAAACCTATGGCCATCCAGGCTGGGGCCAATTTTGACAATTTTAAAATAATTGGTGACACTAAACCTCTTTAAAAAGCATATTCATTTCCCAAATGAACTAACTTTTGCAAATACGAGGGGTGTTCAAAAAGTTTTGAGACTAATGTGCTTCCGTAGAAAATTACCATTCAATTTGCACGAAATTTACGAGATCTTATTGTTAGGCTTTCGATGACAATTGAGTAAAATTTCATTGAAAACAAATCATGCGTTTAAAAGTTATTGTGTATTATTTATCATATACTCGTATACACTGGTCATTTGTACATGTAAATATGAAACCTAGTGAAAAATTAGAGATTCGAGGATACATAAAAGTGCGGTGTAGTTTAGGAATTACTGCTGAGAAGATTCTGATTGAAGTGCATAGTCACTTTGGAATCAATAGTGTTTCGAAAAGCACTGTGTACAGGTGGTTCAAAGCATTCACCAATGGATTGGATAATGTCAAAGACAGGAACCGTTCTGGCAGACCTCAGGCAGCAATCACTTCCAGAAACATTGCTGCTGTGAAAAATCTAATAGAAGATGATGCTCGGTACACGGTACGTGAGATAGCTTATTATCTGAACTTATATCAACGGGTACCATTCAGAGCATTCTGACGAAGGAATTGAATCTAAGAAAAGTTTGTGCAAGATGGGTACCCCATCTCCTGACCGAGGACCAGAAAAAGGAAAGAGTGCGTCTTGCGAAAGAAACATTGAAAAAAATCAAAAATCTCAATTCAAGGAAAATAAATGAACTGATTACGGGAGACGAAACATGGATCTGCTATTTTGAGCCCCAGAGACGCATAAACAACAAGCAATGGCTCCGCAAGGACCAACCTAGACCCACCATTGCTAAAAGGACTAAGAGCGCTAAAAAAGTGGTGTATGCGGTTTTCTTTAATTCGCAAGGCCCTGTGGTACAAGTTGCAGTTCCAGGAGGGAAAACTGTCACTGGAAAGTTCTACCGGGATAAGATTTTGAAACGTGTCAAGGCGTTTTATGAAAATCGTCGCCCAAGAACTGGTTTAAGAGGTTTGTACCTCATTCATGATAACACCTTATCTCATAAATGTGATATAGTACAAAGGTTCATCGAGGAAGAAAAAATTGTACAAGTGAAGCATCCCCCTTATTCTCCCGATCTAAGTCCGTGCGACTTTTTCCTCTTCCCCGAAGTCAAGAAACGGCTTTCTGGACGGCGTTACGCATCACGCAGTGCGCTGGGAAGTGCGCTCTACCAGTGCCTTTTGGGTATCCCCAAGGGGAACTACTCTGACGCTTTCCGGAGGTGGATAGATCGACTTCAGAAGTGTATTCGGGTTCATGGAAACTATTTTGAGGGATTAAAATAGAAAAAAAATTGATATATATCGTTGGTTTTATTTTATTGCTACAGTCTCAAAACTTTTTGAACACCCCTCGTAATACATAAATAACAAATTCTGAGAATTTTACTTTCCATCATACCTTTGAAAGAGATTGCCTTTCAGTTTTTTTAGTGGCCTTTATGCTTTGTACTAGCTGCTGTAACTTCTGTTTCCGCTTTGTACGATCCTGCAAAGCATAAAAAATACTTTACTAACTATTTCTTATCTTTAAAGGTGATTCTTTACCTTGTCTGATACTAAATAAGGTTTATACACTGCCACCCTGCTATAAAATTAGCCCCATTTTAATGCCAAGTCCATTATAATGCTCAAAGAACAAACTTGGTAAAGATTTACAATGTGATCTTTGTGTTGACATATCATTTATCAATCTAACATTTTATTCTGAATATATACACACTATTTATTGCAAAAAACAATACTTATGGTACTTTTCCTTATTCATACATCCAACATCAAGTATCATTTCAATGTGTTCTTTGTATGTATGCAGTCTTTTCAACTTTTAATCTTCAAACTTTCTATTAAGCTATCACTCAGAATAAGTGTAGACATATTATCATCTGCTCTGCAATATACGCCCGAATTTATTGCAGGAGGCCACATTAGAAAGAAAATATCAACAACAGATAATCAATCTTATTTAATGAAAATCTAAAAGAGGATGAGTTTAAATAAAAATGAGAGGAAATATCGGTATGCAAAATGATTTTTAAGTACACAAAAGACAAAAATAATAATAGAAGAAAATGGAACTTATGTACTGTTTTAGCTTATCTCAGTTGTTCTATAATAATGACAGTCACATTATGATAGTTTTCTTCTAATGGTTAATTCTTTAATTGTTAATAAATAAAAGTAGATGAACAGTTTGTTTGTTGGTGTTATTTTGCTATGTTGGGGATTTTTTTTAATTGGGAAACAAAGAGGATATTTTGGATTTGGAATTGGGCCTGATCCTGGCTAGTGGTGATAGGACAAAAAAGCTTTGTATTATAAGTGACCAAATATTTTGAGTGGATGTCAAAATGTAAATTTGTTTACATTTTGCTATATCTAAGGTAAATTATGTATTACACTTCAAGCACATAATTATCTCTTTCCAAGTAATTTGCTAACATGCACTAAATCCATTCTTACATTACCAAACAAATTTTGCACTTTTTTGAAACAAATATTTGTTTTCATATCTGAGGAATATGCTTTTAAAGTAAATAAGATAATGGTAAAAAGAAGTCGCTACAATAAAGATCTTTTTGAATATTAAAGGATTATCTTAAATATTTTAAAATATTTAAAGTGACATTATGCCCATCCAAGAGTATATAGTGAGTGAACGGATAAAGATCAAAATAAGTTTTCATTTTGCCATAATACCTTTTAATTTAAACATTAAGTGCACATAAACAATAAATAACACACAGATCCAAACAAAATTTCTGTAAATATCCATTAGAACTTACCCATAACACTTAGTTAACAAGAGGGCCATGATGGTCCTAAAGTCGCTCACCTGTATATAGGCCCCCGGAGCGGGGCCAGTTTAAACCCCAGGGCTTTTATTTGAACAAACTTGGTAGACACGCATTAGAAAATGTTTCATGCTAAACATCTAAGGTCTAGCTTGTTGGGTATTTTAAAAGAAGTTTTTTTCTTTACACATATAGTTAAAAACAATAACACACCTGGGGCAGGGCCAGTTTTGACCCCAGGGCTTTTATTTGAACAATCTTTGTAGACACTTACTAGAAAATGTTTCATGCTTAACATCTGAACTCTAGCTATTCAGGTTTTTTCAAAGAAGATTTTTAAGTTTTTGCTATACACATATAGGGAAAATCAATGTCCCCTGGGACGGGGCCAATTTTGACCCCAGGGCTTTTATTTTGACAAACTTTGTAGACACTCACTAGAAAATGCTTCTTGCTTAATATCTAAACTCTAGCTATTCGAGATTTTTCAAAGAAGATTTTGTAAGTTTTTGTCTTACACATATAAGGAAAATGTTGACCCCGGGGCGGGGCCAATTTTGACCCCAGGGCTTTTATTTCAACAAACTTGGTAGACAATCACTAGAAGATGTTTCATGCTTAGTAACTAAACTCTAGCTATTTTTTTTTTTTTTTTTTTTTCAAAAAAGATCTTTTAAGTTTTTGTTATAAACATATAAGGAAAATGAATGACCCCCGGGGCCGGGCCAATTTTGACCCCAGGGCTCTTATTTGAACGACCTTGGTAGACATCCATTAGAACATGTTTCATGCTAAATATCTTAGCTCTAGCTCTTTGCATTCTTTAAAAGATTTTTTTTAAAGTTTTTACTATATGCATATAGGGAAAATCAATGACCCCCTGGGGCGGGGCCAATTTTGACCCCAGGGCTTTTATTTGAACAAACTTGGTAGACACCCATTAGAAGCTCTTTCATGCTAAATATCTTAGCTCTAGCTCTTTGGGTTCTTTAAAAGAAGATTTTTTAAGTTTTTACTATATATATGCATATAGGGGAAATCAATGACCCCCTCGGGCGGGGCGAATTTTGATCCAAGGGCTTTTATTTGAACAAAATTGGTAGACACCCACTAGAAGATGTTTCATGCCAAATATCTAAGCTCTAGCTCTTTGGGTTTTTAGAAGAAGATATTTAAAGTTTTTTCTTTTGGTTGCCATGGCAACCAGAGTTCTGCATGGAATGGAATTCTTTGAACAACTTTGTTAAGGCTTCAAACAAGGAACATCCCTGTAATGGTATATAGGAAAAAAAAATTCAAATTTTTTTTCTTACACTCAACCCAAAATAGTTATTTTGATGGTTTTTTTTTTCAATTTTTTTTTGTTTTTTTTTTTCAATTTTTTTTTAAAAACTTCATTTTTTTTATATGGGCAACAAGACTGGACGAGCACCTGTGTATATAAACGTTCATGCACCGAAGGCGAAGAACTGGGAAAATTAATCTGAGAAGTCTGAAAATACACAAGCAAACGACTTGCAAGCTCACAACCGCATGTATATGTCAACAAACTTAAAAGAATACTTACAATAAAACTGGCAAGATGATAAAATGAGTTGTTGAGATATTTTATCAAGTTTTATTTTACAAATGGCATCTTTGAAATAAAGGGAATTAACTAATGAATTTCACGAATTCGAAAGCCTACCTAAACGCCGTTTTCCGGTACTTTCCGTACATAGCTCTGGGGAGTGTAATAATGAACTTTTATGGTTTTGGCCTTTCTTGAATTAAAGTGAAATAAAAAAGTTATTTCTTTGTAAGATTATATAATTAAATAACATTGTACTGTATGAATAATTCCATACAAAAAGTAAAGTAAATACACACATTTACGCAGAAAATATCTCTATTTATTATGGAAGATGTCACAATGACTGTTTTAATTTAATTGATTTTCATTATAAACATTTTTTTTGAAAATATGCACCTGATATTTTTGATCTGAAATGGTAAAATAATGAAGAAAAATAGAAATAATATGTAAGTGTGTTATGTACTTCATTTGGTACACAGCTAAATCCATAACGTACCGGAAAACGGTATTTAGCTAGGTTTTCGAAAAGGTCAAATCCAATACACTTAAAAACTTTCTCAAGGCTTTACTTAACAGAATGGGATGCTTTAATTATAATCAGGAACCTAGATCAAATAATATATGAAATAAAGGTCGCTGTTTAATTGCCGCAGATAGTCAGAATACTAGATCTAAAATGGCCCTGTACCTACTGCTGTAATCGGGACATTTCTTTTTTCAACAAAATTGAGAACAAGAAAAATTGTTTCCTACTTAACGTCCACAAAAAGGTTTCAATAAAGTAGAAATTATTCTAAACAGCGTGCAGTTACATTTAATTATTGACTTATTAATGTATCATACATACCATCTGTAACTGATCCTCAACTTCATCCTTTTCGGTCATCGCCTCAATTAAAACATCTTGTTTCTCCCGCCAAATATAGCGCGGTTCAGATAATATGTAAATAATAAGTCATAATCTTTAAATAATAAGTTATAAGTTATAGATAATAGGTAATAAGTAATAAATTTTAAGTACTAAATTTTAAATAATAAATGTCCCTCCAGGGCTTCCGTAAGATCTAGTACGTTTGAACGGGAAATTGTAGAGCAAACGGTCAAATAACGGCATTTAGACCAACCACCGTTAACAGGAAGTGGATTTTTTGTCAGAGTTGGAAGATTTTGCATCGGTAAATATCACATAATTTCTGTGTTTCTATCAGTCTTGTAAAACACTCCTACTTATTTTATGCCTGATCTTATGAGTGACATTTCCAGAATTAGGTTTATAAATAGACTTTTATTATATTGGTCCCATATTTACAAAAACCTGCAGTAAAGTGGATTGTAAAAGTTCCTTTAAAACTAAAAGTTTAAAAAAAGATTTTAGTTATCTGTCGTAGACATTTACAGACAACTCATGAAATTATAACTAGATCTAGAGCACAGGTGCTTAAAACAAACTTTTTTTTATGTTCTATATGGGCTATATACGTATAATAAGATATACGGTCTCCAACAAAACATTATCATATTGCTGAACAAACAAGAACATAATTTGCTGCAAGAAACGACCAGAACACGGTTATCTATTTTTGACGACTTTTGAAAGGATCAATCCATACACCAACCGCTTTTTATGTCATTATAATCCCCCAAATAGCAAAGAAATGAGTAAAATTTTCACAAAATGCCAATATTTTCAATCCATGTTATTTTCGACGTCCATTCTATTCATGTATACAAACAAATTTTCTGGTTGATTCCAACAAAATAAACTGTTCCGTTGGGGGCCTTATATTTTAATATACATATATAGGCTGATTATATAAAATACTTTATTGTGACTAGCGCCTGTGATCTACTAGAGGTCCTGTTATCCTGACAAATTTAGCCTTTTAATATTTTTCCCAATATTTTTGCATTGATTTTATCTTGGCTATCAATTGGTTGAAGCATCATCTTATTGTTTAGATCTATGTTTAGCATGGAATCCTGTATGATCGAAATATTTGACATTATTTGCCATGACTGCATTTGTTTATATGGTAAACTTAAATTATTGAAATTTTGTAAAAAAAGAATCAAATAGGAAAAACAACTACGATACATAGTCCTTTAAATATGATGTTGCTTTGAGATATTTTAGCTTCTGGGCAAAGGAACATAAACTATAACAAGGCGGTAACGTCTGATATATTGGACTACATGATTCTGTGAATCAACTATACCCCAAATCTGTACCGACACAACTCTATTACCGACATACTCTAAATATTTCGTCATGTGCGGGCATGCATACAATGCAGGGCTCTAGCAACTGGGCGATTTGGGCGACTTAGTCGCCTAAAGTTTCAAAACTTCGCCGAGTTTGAACATCAAAGCGAAAATGATTTCGCCGCTGTTTTACTGACCACATGTACATATAGCTATCATACAGCGCATGTAAATTAAGTTAATCCTCGCCTCCAGGCATAAATCAAACTGAATTGGTGACGACGCACAGTTACTGCCGATAATTGACATCAATTAACACATTTAAGTGACATGATATGCAGATGCATCAGACATTATTGCCATTTAATTCGCCGATGTAAACATCACATTTTTTAACACCTGTCACTATTTTATCAGCGAGTGTAAAAAGATTACACCCGGAATTGCTCTTACCATATTTGACAGTAAATACACGCAACCTCACACAGACCGTGTAAATTTACTTGCATATAGATTAATACACACAGAAGCACAAGTAAATGGTTTGATGTAAAAATGAAATTTGTTAAAGAACTTATTGACCCACATTAGACCAATTTTGGAGAAGTCGAAAACAGCAGTAAACTTTGTCTTCAAAAAGTTACATAAACGTCGGTAAATTATGCGGTAAACTACAAATTTTGTTTTACAATGCCTGTTGCAATAGCGGATGAATAACAATCTAAAAATGATCATTGAATATTTAATTTAATATAATCAAAATCGACAACAACTAGAATTATAAGTGTTTCTGCAGGAAAAAGACAAATTTTCATTTGTCACATATTTTCGCGATGCTGATTTTTACAATGAAAAAATAAAGTTACCAAAAGGAAAATTTGTTTTGTTAAAATGTGTCCAATAGCACTTAAAATGTAGTTTATTAATGAAAATTCCTTAAGGTATAATTTACATTAATTTTGATTGAGAATTTTGACAGTATGTGTTGTACAATGAAAATTTTCTTAAGGGAGGGAGTTAATCAGGAAGAAAACATTATAATGGTCTGATGATAGAGGGTTTTAGAATTTATACTTCAAATATCATTATCAATAAATATGTAAAACTCCTTTTTAGCTCGACTTTTCTATGAAAAGGGGAGCTATCCTACTCGCCCCGGCGTCGGCGTCACACCTTGGTTAAGTTTTTCGTACCACCCCACTTTATTTCAGAAGTATTACAAGTATGGCTTTGAAACTTACCATACTTGTTCACCATCATAACCTCCATCTACAGACTAGAGTACATAACTCTGTCAAGGTTTTTGACAGAATTATGGCCCTTTTTTGACTTAGAAAGTGTATTGAGCTTGGTTAAGTTTTTTGTACCACCTCACTTTATTTCAAAACCATTGGAGGTATTGCTTTGAAACTGACCATACTTGTTTACCATCACGACCTTCATCAACAGACAAGAGGACATAACTCTGTCAAGGTTTTTGACAGAATTATGCCCCTTTTTGACTTAGAAAATACATTGAATATGGGTAAAATCCACTTATTGCCTTAACCCTTTGAGATATTGCTTTGAAACTTTTAATGCTATTTCACATCATTACCCCCATCTGTACGCAAGAGAAGGTAACTCTGTCAAGGATTTGTTTTAAAAATTAAGGCCTTTTATCGACTTAGAATCTTGGTTAAGTTTTTAGTACCAGTCCACTTTTTGACTGAACTGTTTGAGATATTAATTTGAAAGTTGGAATACTTGTTTACAATCATGATTCCCAAACATGTCCAGGAGAAGGTAATTCTGTCAAAGATTTTATTTGAATTATGGCCCTTAACTCTTTTGACTTAAACATTTCAAACTTTGCTGCAGTGTTCAAGGGTATCACACAATTCAGTAAAATAATTCTTCACTAAATATCTTAATGCTCATGGCCATTGTTCACTTTAAAAATACAGAGATTCTTGTATTGCCTTTTACTGCAAAAACTTTTTTTATTGGCAAGCAATAAAAAAGTCGAGCGCGCTGTCTTACGGACAGCTCTTGTTATAGATCAAATCAATCTGCTAAGCCCTTTTTCACTTCTCCTTATGTCGTCAAACTTCTCCCTGATAGCAGCTGAGGGAGAAGTCACTTTTCCCTAAAATTTTGGTCTAGCTAGAGCCCTGCAATGAAGTTAAAAATTTTTGATCTCATTCAATAAAAAATTTAATATTAAGTTGAATTTGACCTGCTTCGCATAAAATATTTATTATTAAAATCATAAATGAAATTCAATGGCTATGCAGACATATAGAAAATGTTAAATATGTCAGTAATATAGAGTCCCATGCTACAGGAATTTGTACAGGAACTCTTTGCATGCCATGCCAGTGGTGAATAATTTTATTCTGTTTAATATAAAATTTAAACATATAAAAGTATAGGTACTAGAATGGATCTTTGTCACAAGTCAGTTTCAACTCAGCACTCCGGCCCTGCAACCTTGGAGGATTTTTTATTTTCAATTCCCTTAAACAGCCTCACATGAAAGGGATAACATAATGTAAAACGCATTAAATTTCCTGCATGGCAAGAATTCCCCAATAAATTCCTGGCCTCAATTCTTTATACATGTAGGATATGAAACATTTTATGTAATTATCATAATTATATAATGCATTATATGAAGGTTTTTTTAAAAGTATAAAGCATTTGAGCTGTGTCAATTAATGCAGTTTTTTTCTGTAATTATTTAGAGGTTAATATTTTGTTGCTGCTCGCCATTATGCGATAATGGCCCGAAGATGTGCATAATGGCCTGAGGGCGTATTAACAATTTTAATACCTATGCCCGAAATACAGTGTTTAGACATCACCGCTTATTTTGTCACCCTTATTTTGTCACCCTTTCTTAGAAACGGACAGTTGTCAATGTAAACAAATATCTGTCATACAGTTTAACCCTCTGATAAACTTACAAAACATGACAACAACACTTGAAATATGAGAAAATGTTGTTTTATTGTTGTTTATATCAATAAAATACTCTTTATGTTTTTGTTAGAATAATGTTTAGTGTCAGTTTTTTATGAACTTTTGTACTTTCAAAAACGGTTTCTGATGTCTAGCTCTAAATGCTCCACATTTTTTTTTCTGAAATCATAAGGGTCATGTTTTTTCTTGGGTAGAGATATTGTATTTTCCTTGAGTGTATAAATCTTCAATGTAAGCTTTGTTGATTGCAATTGATAATGCCATCCGAACTTAGAATTTAATGTGCAAGTGACTACAGTTTATTCGACGTCAGCAGCCATCTTGAAAGTCACCGAGTACTTAAAAAAAAGATTTTAGTTATCTGTTGTAAAAATTGGACGGTGTTTTTGTATCAGGCTAACACTCGCATTGGATATTGATTTTCAATATATTTCTTTATTATCTTTTATATATTTTTCCATTCCCCAATCGATCTTTTAAAGAAGATTTTTAAATTTTGTGTTCTTTAACCTTTTATATCTCAGTGGAAATCTTTTAAATTTTTTATATTAAAATTAAAAACATCGGATCATATATCAATATATTGATAATTATTTTTCTTATTTTAGTTAAGAAAGGCCTCTTGTTTTAACAGCTCTGGTCTCAATATTGTAAAAACACAGTCTCTAATCTTAGACTTTTCATTGGTCAGTGTACATTCTGAGCTGCTTTCTGATCAATAAAAACTTATATAATAAAGTTTCTTATAACCTTGGACCAAGAATGCAATAATACTACGTTGAATAATGTGATAAAGTTATTCATATTTATATAATGTATTTGATGTGATGTTTTTACCCTTTATTCTGACTAGTCTTGTCCCCTCTACATAGCAACCCGATAATGTGGTGTAGTTTTATGAATTTGAAGCTTCAAATATTTTGTAGAATTTAAAGGTATATGAGTTTGCCTGATTTTGAAAGAAGTTTTAATACCTTTGGCCCTTGATACTATTTTCAACTTTGCAACA